TTATCAGAACTAAAAATAATATTTTAAAAGTTTTTCAAATATGAAACGTGAAGTTTATTTATCAGAAAATTTGATTATTTTTGTAAATAAAGACTTTTGGAGTCAACTATAATCAGGGCTGACCCAAGTATAAAGCAGTCTAAGACTCTAAGTCTTAGTTTTAGGCCTCCAAAAATATTTTAGGACGGTCCTGTGTAAAATAGACTCTCAAAATATTTTTTCTACTTATAGAACTTAATGAATTAATTGTATCAATATCAACTTTGGTTTGTTGGTCAATGTCTAAACCTAACATTGTAAGGATTGGGGTTTGACCCTAGTATTATAATTTTTTCTGAAAGTTCCTTGTTTATAGGTGATTGTTATAATTCTTCTCTCCGCTAAATTAAGCCCCAAATTATGAACCTTCTCACTTTCTTATTAATTCTTCTTCTCCCATTAATTTAAGTCTCAAATTATGAACGTTCTCATTTTTCTATTAATTTTTCTTCTCCCACTAAATTAAGTCCCAAATTATGAACGTTATCGACTAAACTTGTTATATTCTTCATTTTCTCTCCTTGCATCTCAAAAGACTCAAAAAATAAATTTTAAATAAAATTAAAATAAATTATTGTTATTGATTTTAAAAAGGTCAAACTTCAAAATTTGTTTTGGACTCGAGTCGACCAATTACTTCTCTTGTCAAGGCCATATGCAATAGCTGCAGCAGCGGGTTCATTGATTATCCGTATAACATTGAGGCCAGCAATGGCACCAGCATCCATGGTGGGCTTACGCTGAGAGTCATTGAAATAAGCTGGCACAGTAACAACAGCATTCTTCACAGGTTTTTCCAAAAAAGCCTCAGCAATATCCCGCAACTTTACAAGGATCATGGATGATACTTCCTCAGCACAAAGTTGCTTCTCCTGACCCTTGTATTTAACCACGATCATCGGTTTGTCATTGGCACCAGCAACGACTTTAAATGGCCACAACATTTTATCTTTTTGAACATTGTGCTCGCTATATTTCCTACCAATCAACCTCTTGGCATCTGCAAAAAGTTAACAAAAAACTAATCATCCATTTTTTCTAAAAAAGAGTTTACAGAAAAATCAAAAAAAAGAATAAATAAATAAGTCATTAAGGACAGAAAATATACCGAAGATGGTGTTCTCTGGATCGGTGGCAGCTTGATTTTTAGCAGCATCACCGATCAACCTTTCATGGTCAGTGAAAGCAACAGAAGAAGGAGTAGTGTTGTTGCCTTGGTCATTGTGAATGATCTCCACTCGACAGTGCTGCTCCTGCCATACCGCAACACAAGAGTAAGTTGTTCCAAGGTCGATTCCTATCGCAAGACCCTCTTCTTTTGCCATTCTCTTTCGAGTGATACACAGGATAGAATTCAGAATTTGGGAGAATTAAGAATGTTGAATATGTATATATAAACTACGTACATGACGTGCATCTTGATTCCATAAAATGAAACTACACATACCTAGTCATCGGGAATCACGACTTAATTATTCCTATTAATAGGGACTCTTCGTGCATCTGCAATTGGAAAACTAAACGACTGAAAATATTCAGATCGTAGTGTGATATTGTAAGTTATAGATGCGTACGTGTCATTGACTTGGGAACTGCCGACTTTACCAAATGAGTTAGTAAGCAATCGTCGTCCATATGATACACTTCTGTAACTTTATTTTTGTCAGAACTGAGTATGTACATCAGTACATGGATATTAAAATAAACTTAAATAATCTTATATTCGTACATATTTTATAGCATTTTATTTTATAAACATGCGTGCTCCAAAAATATTGTCATTATAAATAGTAGCAAGAAAAAAACACTTTTATATTAAAATAAATAAATAAATAAATAAGAAAAAAAATAAGAAATTATTCATAAAAAAAAGTAGTTATTAAAAAATAAAGATTTAAATATGTTTAAATTACTTTGAATTAGCTCGATTTTCATGTTACTACTTTTTAAATTTTTTTTTTTAAACTACCTGATAAATTTTTTTTTAATTTAGTATCTGACGTTAGTTTTTCCTGTTAAATGATGACGTGATAAACGGATTGCCACGTCATCACCCAACAATGTCTGCCACGTGGACATGGTGATGACATGGCAACACACTATTGGGTGATGACGTGGCAGTCCATCTATCACGTCATCACTTGATAGAGGGGAACCAACGTCAGGCACAAAATTGAAGAAAAAAACTTAGTCAAATATTTAAAACAAAAAATAATAAATTAATAGGTAGAAATCTGAAAATCAACTTAATTGGAGGTAGTAATCTGAAAAACTGACCTAATTGAAGGTAGTAATCTGAAAACCGACTTAATTGAAGGTAGTAATTTGAAAACCGACCTAATTAAAGGAGACTTGACTCCGCTACACCTTTTTTTTATTATTACATATGATAAAAAAAAAAAAAAAAAAAAAAAAAAAAAAAAACACAAGATTTGAAGTGAAAGTAACTAGAATTCCGTCTGGAGGAGACTTGACTTAACAAATAAATTTTCAGTACTTTTAAAAATTGTCACTGAAAGTAGCTAGAATTCCGTCTGGAGGAGACTTGACTTAGCAAATAAATTTTCAGTACTTCCATATAAGTGAAAGATACAAAATGAAATATATATATATATATATATATATATAAAAGTTAAGTGAATATTTGTGGCATTAACTTTCCTATCTTACAAGTAAAACTTATAAGATTTGAAATTAAATTTTTATTTAAAAACTTATTATTAGTAAATATAAATATTACACACATATATTATATATATATATTGAGTTTTAATATAATTCCATAATTTTTTTTTTTTATAATCAAGTGCAATAGTTTCCATACATGATCAATCACTACAAAAAAATCAAGTTTTAGCGACCACCAAAATCGGTCGCTATTTAGGTAAATTCAGTTGCTGTTACATTCAGCGACCGAAATAGCGACCGAAAAAATCCGTCGCTAAAACCCTGGTCGCTATTTTAAATAGCGACCGAATTGTTTTCCGTCGCAATTTTGCGACCGAAAAATCCGTCGCTAGACATTAAAAATCCGTCGCTAAAATTTTGGTCTCCTAACTTCTGGAGACCAATTTGGCGACCGAATTTTCTGGTAGCAATTTCCGCCGCTAATTTTTTTATTTATTTAATAAAAACATTTTAAAAATCCGTCTCTAAATCGGTCGCTAAAAACCTGAAATAGCTACGAATAAATTCGGTCGCTATTTCAGTCGCTAAAAATTTCAAATAGCTACAAATTATTTTGGTCACAATTTCGGTCGCTAATAACTTGAAATAGCTACTAATTATTTCGGTCGCTAAAAACTTGAATTAGCTACAAACTCTTTTGGTCGCTATTTCGGTCGCTAAACACTTGAAATAACTACTTTTCGTTTCGGTCGCTATTTCGGTCGCTAATGCTAACCAGTATTTTTAAATTCTTTTTTAATTATAAATTTATACATGTTAACCAATATGAAATTAACAATATATTTATTACACAATTTATAATAATAAACTAGAACATACTAAAAGACATAATCTCATCGATGTAAATTTATATTATAGTGAAAACTAAATAAATTATAAGTATGTCAATATAGTATGCTAAAAACACAATAACAACATAAAACATTTAAACTTCAACAAAGTAATAGTGAAATACAATAAAAAATCCTGAAACAAGTAAAAGAAAGAAACTTAATTAAGGGTCTTCTGCTATGTCATCAAGAGCATCATCAACAGCATGGTCAGGATCATCTGGGGTAGTACTCGGTGCAGGAGGGGTTGGCCTTAAAGGGTCAATGTTGAGATGGCGTAGTATATACTGCATCTGCTCATCATGCTGTCGTATATGCTCTTCCAATGCTTTTTCCTTTGCTTCCTTTGCAGCAAGCTCAGCATTTAATTTAGTTATCCTATTTTGCATTTCTTCTATCACCCCTGCAGTGACTGGTAATGGCTGTGACATAGAAGATTGTAGAAGTGTTGAGCGAATAAAATCATCGGTCAATCCAGCAAGCCCATACAAGTTCCCCTTCGTATTCTTTTTAACCACCTGCAAATAAACTTCATTATCAATAATACAAGTAGAAGCAAAGCCCTCTGTGTCATCCTGTGTAGCTTGTTGCTTGACTTCAATTAGACGCTCATTATATTTCTCCTAAAAAAATAAAAAAAATATTATTTCAACAAAAATTTCAAGACAACATATTCTTTGATTTTAATTCAGCAAATAATTGTTATTTTACAGCAAATAATTCAACAAATAATTTAAGAGAACAAAAACCACAACTGATATATTTAAACCCTTCTTAGAGTTATAAAATTAATTGGGACTCACTGTAACACTTTTAATTATTGATTCAAAATCATAAATTTTAGTTAAAATTTTACCACTAATCAGAATCACAAATTATAGATACAATACTAAAAAAAATAATAATTTCTAATATCTTTCTAATTGTCATTTGTTCTTTAGCAAAATCACGAGTCCCTTGAACAGACACAAAGGTAAGACTACCAACAAACACATCCTATCCAGGAACAGAAGCAAATATTAAACAATTCCATTATGTATAGTCAACACCATCAACTGACATAAAAAAAATACTAGAGAAAAGAGATAGAAGATTCTTACAAGTGACGAGGGTGGAATTTTGTGGCTTTATTTATTTATTTTTTATAATGGGATGATTTAGTGATGGCAGGGGATTGCTGGAATTGAGGATGGTTAGATTCTACAATATGTGACTCGAGTAGAAACTTTGCCCTACGCTTACCAAATACCAATTTCTTATCAGTCAAATGGTCACAGGAATAAAATATGTGTACTATAAATTCAACGAACATGTCCACAGGATATATCTAAATGTATTCTGCAAACCAGAAAAGACAAGGACAAAACATGTGGAAAACACTCTCCTAAGAATATAAAGTTCAAACTAAAAACATTGTAGTTTTTTGACATATTCATTCAAGAAGATATTATGAGCCAATGAAGTTACTAATGTAGAAAAGAATATGACTACCAACAAGATCCAACAAATTATAGATAGCTGAATTCTCAGAAGTTTGATTCCTGACCACATATATGAAAAAATCGTTGTGAAAGATAAAATTAATTTTCATAATCTCTATGCATCAACTATAGGTTAGATGATATTTTTTAGTGAAAAAAAATGTGACATTTGAAGTTGCGGATTCCTCCAAAACTTATCACTTTATCATTTATGTATCAGCAACTCCTTCAATGGTCCTAATTTTACTCTAGAGACAAAGACTGCATATAGGCATTTGACTGCACATTTTTTCTTACCTCTAATATCAGTAGCATGCCGAGGCTACGGAAGGAAACAAAAATGATTAACTTAGAAAAAGAAAAGAAAATATATTTTAGAAAAAGGACAGTTAGATTTGTGTTGCTTGAATTGAAAAGTGGACAAATTTATGGAGCAAAAAGTAAATGCAGCCTTAATAAAAGTGAATTAGTCAATACAAGAAAACTAAATTGAGGTTCCAAAATAGACTACCAGTCCAATCACGAGTAACATAAAGGCATAGCAAGACTTAAAATAAAAAGCATGAGACTCATGCAGTTTTTACTCTTTTTATTTATTTATTTATTTATTTATTTTTTACATAGATTTTACTTTTAACATCATAATAACTCAGCATGCATGCCAGTGGGTCTGTGATCGCATGCAATGTACAATCGATTAAGTCTTTTTACTCTTACTAATTCAGATCTAGAATTAAATTTGACTTTTTTTTTTTATATTTTATATTTTTTCATGCAAACTAATACAAAGATATGATAAATAATACATAATGCTAATACAAATTCTTAAAGAAGTTCATGGTTGATTCTAACCTTAATTAGAGTTGTAACATGTCAAATCAGAATAATTGGAATAGGTGAAAACGAAGGCAATAATGGTCAGACACGTTCTACTGTCTCATGGGTGTGCTGTTCCATTTTCGTCCAAATAATCAGCCTCTCATTGTCTTGAATCTTGATATGTTTCCCTATGTAAATAGTTAAATGAAGTACCCAATTTTATGGATCTACCCTAATGTTTAACTTCAAAGGGGTGGCAGCCCCTTTTGGAATTTTGTATTTTAATAATTAATGAGTTAGTATTATAAACTAATTTTATTAATTATTTGTTATCTATGTGTTCTAATTTATGTAGTTAACTTAATTAAGTAAGATTATTAAATTATTAAATATGATAATATATGTTTGAATGAACAAAATATTAAATATCAGTGACGATTCATTAGTGGATAATTATGTGAACCTTTTTAAGGTTAATCGCCTATAGAAAGATTATAGTCCACAATATATATATTGAATCATGAAAATTTATTTCTTCTTTTATCATCTAAAGAGAAAATAAGGTTAATTATTAGAAACTCAAAATATCCGGTTAAGGAAAAACCATATGAAATCCGTTATTCTTTTCTTTGTGTTTGCAATTAATTACTGCTACAATCATCCCACAATAGAAGTATAGTTAGATCAAAATTGACTTTGGATCCAGGTAATTTATAGTAGATTTTAATATTTATGGTGAATTATTCTCAGACATAAACATGTGAATATTTTACTTCTACATAAAAAAATATTACAATAAAGATTAAATTTTCAACAAATATGCTTTCAACAAATATGATTTCAACAATATGCTTTCACAAATAAAGGACTAAAAACAAATTTGTAAAAATTAACAATATATACCATTTATTATGAAGAGATTCATATTCATTATTCCCAACCATTCTAAACGCCACCTTAATTATTATTTTGAAAAAGTTATATATATCTCAATCGGAAATTTCATTTATCTTTTGCGTGCATGTGAAATTTTGAAAAATCTAAACATCCTTAAAATAGTCTTTATCGTGATTGTTGCAAAGTTTTTTAAATTAATAGACTAACTTACAGCAATGTTGCGAGCTTTATCGCTGACCCATTCTCCAGTCTTAAATTTTTTTGTCTTTTCCACTAATTCCCAAGCAGTAGGGGGACGATTTAGCTCCTTCGCCTATATAAATTTAAATATTACAATTCAACCAATCAATTATATTAAATTGAACTAAATATAAATAAAAAATGAAATAAACTTACCAATTTTTCAAAGTGGGCTCCTGCAGATATGGAGCCACCAGTGTAGGCTGTTGCTCCATTCTCTACAGCCCGATTCCCTTTAGCAGTACTACTTTTGTTTTGGAATTTTTCAGAAGCCCAATGTTGATCCAAAATAGCTCGAGAATTTTCAGGGATCCAATTTCCCTTATCGACACCTAGTCTAACCTTATGCATAGCATTTTTCAGAAGAGTTGATCCTTTATGCTCAAAAGTCTTTCGTATGGCCCGATCATGTTGTGGATCCCACTTATACTCTTTCTGCATTAAAAATGAATTAGGAAACATACTAAAAACTACATGCAACACATTTTAAATTAAACCAAATTTAATTACCTGAAACTCTCCAAACCACATGTCCCGAACCGATTCATCCACAGCCTTCCAAGTGGGCCAGGCTCCCTCAAATTTTTGCTTAAAGATCCCTGAAATGACATCAGCAGGGCCTTTTGCAGGAACAAATCTATTAAAAAAGATATTGTCAAAATCACATTTAAACAATGTTATATTAGAAAAATCATCTTTAAATTAAAATGTACGTACTCTTTGCCTTTCAAGGATAGCCAAAACCTTTGGTCAGATGAATCCGCAGACTCAGGAATGGGAGGAGGTGGGTATTGTGGAGTCAATGAACATTCTCCTGTTAAAGGTGTGTCCTGTCTAGAATGAGTATTAGGAATTGATTCGCCTACGAAGATGGAATTGGTTCTTCATGAACTATAGGGAGTGGGTCTCTTTGTGTGGGTAACAATGACTCGGAGCTTGAAATGTGAAGGCCAACACCACCACGACCTCGACCACGAGGTGCTTTACGACCACCACCTCTACTTCTACCTCTACCTCTATCTGCCACCTGAATGTAGAAATTGTTACATATATCACATTTAAGAGCAAATATTATTTTTTTCATCCAATAAACTTGTAATAAACAAATAATTCAAATTATTAAGAATAAATTTAAACTTTAAATCATATAACAACAAAATAGATGTTCTACGCATAAAATTATATTTAAGTCATTTTACACATGAAAAGAATTATACAAATAATTATTTAATGTATAAATTACCTAAGGTTCATCTGTATCATTGAAATCACTCTCATTCTCATCATCGTTATCATCCTCACTTGATATGTATTTATCTTCAATAAATTCATCCACCATGTCTGGTTGATCAAATGATTGCATATCTACTTCTTCTCCACCAACATCATTATCAACTAGAGAATCATCAATGACATCTGAGTCAATATGTAACATGACTTGAAGCCCTACAACCTCATCATCCTGGTATGGAACCTCTTGCTCAGTTTGAATTAATATATTATCATTTATTCTACTACGAGCCTTTGTCTTGATTATGGCCAGCCAATCATTATGTCCCTCAGGATATGGTGTGAAGTAAACTTGCTCAGCTTGTTGTGCAAGTATGAATGGGTCATAAGCCTTATTATACCTCCTTGATTGCCTTACCTCAACAACCCCATACTTATCATTTACTCTTGTTCCGATATTAGGAGTATTATCAAACCAATCACACTTGAAAAGAATTAGTTTCATTATTGGTAAGCCAGTATACTCCAATTGAATAATATCAGTCAATTTTCCATAAAAGTCAGATTCTAATTGACCAGTGTGGAATTTATATCCATTTATAGTGTAAATAGGCCATGATTCAACCTTTAGCTTGGGCCCCCATGCTAAATTACGCAACAGTGGATCTTGAACATTATTTTCAGAATTTAGAACCTAAAAAATGTAACAATTAATGTTATATATTAAGGGAAAATAAAATTTTATGTAGGAAAATTTGATGTTAACCTACATATTCTTTGAACCATGTAGGAAAATTTGATGAAATTTCCTGACCAACTTGAGCGTCTGAAGCAGTGGGGTTGAGTTGCCTTAAATATTTGACATAAATACTAGAATGGTAAAAAACAAATCAATCAAACTACACAATATGACAACATTAACATTTATGTGGATGTTATGTAAGGACTGAACATTGTCTTACTCTAAATATGGCTCAACCTCTTCACAATTTTGAAGAACATACAAATGAGTAGCTTTGAGGTCTAGTTGGTCCAAGAAATATTTTGTAGATTTTCCACTCGCTTTACCTGGGTAGTTAAAAACTGAAAAACAAGGAGTAGACATAGAACCTTCATCTACATCAACATTACGAGGCATTCTGGTCCTTCTTGTATCAATTTCAGAAGGATAGTAGTAGGAAGCAAAGGTTGATGTTTCCTCAACTAAGTAAGCTTCACAGATCGAAGCCTCTACCCTTGCCTTATTTTTGACTTTGTTTTTTAGGGAATGTAAAAACCTAGAAAGGTATATGGATGCATTAGTTAAAAATTTGAAAAAATAATAGGAAAACATATAATTGATTATCAATTTTATACCTCTCAAAAGGATACATCCAACGATATTGGACTGGACCACCAACCCTAGCCTCATAGGGAAGATGAATAGGAAGATGCTCCATTGAATCAAAGAAGCTTGGTGGGAATATTTGTTCCAACTTACACAACAACACAGGTATGTCATTTTCCATAACTCTTAATTGCTCAACATTTAGTGTAGTAGAAGTCAATTCCCTAAAAAAATGGCTAAGTTCAACAAGAACCTTCCAAATAGGTTTCGGTAACGAGTCGAATGCAATTGGAAGCAATCGTTGCATGAAAACATGACAATCGTGACTCTTCATTCCATGTAACTTTCCCTCCTTAATAACAACACATCTACCCAAGTTAGAAGCATATCCATCAGGTAACTTTAGTTCTTTGACCCATTGACAAATAGCTACTCTTTGGGATTTAGTCAATGCATATGTTGCCTTAGGCTTGATAAGTTTACCACGACCAACATCTTTCAACTCAAGTTCCCTTCGATTGCATATTTCTGCTAAATCCAATCGAGCATTGTTAGTATCCTTTGTCCTCCCATTAATGTCCATCACAGTGTTAAACACATTCATAAACACATTTCTCTCTGTGTGCATGACATCAATGTTATGGCGTAGAAGGTGTGTTTTCCAATATGGTAAGGTCCAAAATATACTTTGCTTTGTCCAATTATGTTTGTCTCCATAATGTGGAGGGTTTTCATCTCCCCTATCTTGGGCAAGCGGTAAATGAGCAACTTGCTTCCATATATTAGGACTAGACAAACGTGGAGGAGGGTTTGAGGTCTCAATAACCCTCTTCTTAAATGAATTTTTATTCTTCCTATATGGATGATTATGTGGAAGAAATTGACGATGGCAATCAAAATAAGAAACCTTGCGACTATTCTTAAGGGAGAATGCCTTTGATTTATCCATGCAAATAGGACAACCAAGTCTCCCAGCAGTCGACCAACCAGACAACATTCCATAAGCTGGAAAGTCATTAATTGTCCACATTAAAGCAGCCTTCATCATGAAATTCTGCCTCAATGACACATCATAAGTTAGTGTGCCATCATTCCATAAGCTGCACAACTCATCTATAAGTGGCTGCATGTACACATCAATCTTGTATTTTGGATTTGATGGACCTGGAATTAATATGGTCAAGAACATAAATTTTTTGGACCATTATACCCTTTTATGTTAAAATATTAGAAGAAATATTTTTTAATCAAATTTAAGAATTTGAAACTAATATATAAAGGGAATACCCTTTTTAGTAACTACCTTGGTCTCCACTTTTTTTTTTACCATTATATATTTTTATTTTAAAAAATTAAAAAATATTTTTTAATCAAATTTAAGAAATTGAAACTAATGAATCTATACTAATATATAAAGGAGATACTACTTTCAATAACTACTTTTGGTTTTCATTTTTACATGAACCATTTTATCTTTTGTTTAATTTTCAATAATCTATACTTCTATACTAATATATAAAGGGGATACCCTTTTTGGTAACTACCTTGGTCTCCATTTTTTTTTTACCATTATACCCTTTTATGTTAAAACTTAGAAAAAATTTTTTTAATCAAATTTAAGAATTTGAAACTAATATATAAAGAAAATACCCTTTTAAGTAACTATCTTGGTCTCTACTTTTTTTTAACCATTATATATTTTTATTTTAAAAAATTAAAAAATATTTTTTAATCAAATTTAAGAAATTGAAACTAATGAATCTATACTAATATATAAAGGAGATACTACTTTCAATAACTACTTTTGGTTTTCATTTTTACATGAACCATTTTATCTTTTGTTTAATTTTCAATAATCTATACTTCTATACTAATATATAAAGGGGATACCCTTTTTGGTAACTACCTTGGTCTCCATTTTTTTTTTACCATTATACCCTTTTATGTTAAAACTTAGAAAAAATTTTTTTAATCAAATTTAAGAATTTGAAACTAATATATAAAGAAAATACCCTTTTAAGTAACTATCTTGGTCTCTACTTTTTTTTAACCATTATATATTTTTATTTTAAAAAATTAAAAAATATTTTTTAATCAAATTTAAGAAATTGAAACTAATGAATCTATACTAATATATAAAGGAGATACTACTTTCAATAACTACTTTTGGTTTTCATTTTTACATGAACCATTTTATCTTTTGTTTAATTTTCAATAATCTATACTTCTATACTAATATATAAAGGGGATACCCTTTTTGGTAACTACCTTGGTCTCCATTTTTTTTTTACCATTATACCCTTTTATGTTAAAACTTAGAAAAAATTTTTTTAATCAAATTTAAGAATTTGAAACTAATATATAAAGAAAATACCCTTTAGATAAATATTTTGATATTAAATTTATTATATATTAAAATTAATTAAATATTTTTATCAAAAAAACTGATACAGATTTTAGATTTTATTTACTATGTTTTATAATATAAAAAAATCCAATATTAAATTATAAGATAATAAAAATTATAGGCTTCTGTATTTTATATATATATATATAAATTACTTTCAGTAGTAAACCAAGAAATCAAATTGGCGCAGCGGTATTGTGGTTGGCTCATCACTCACATGACCAGGGATCGAAACTGGCTGTGTACTTTTAGTAAAAAATTTAATACAAAAAAAATTTAATACAAAAAATTTAGCGACCGAAATAAATTCGGTCGCAATTTTTTTTAATAATTTTTCAATATCAGTCGCTAATTTCGTCGTAAACTATGTTTTATGAAAAACAATTCAACAGCGACCGATTTTCTCGCTACCACTATAATTGGTCGCTAATTCGGTCGCAAAATAGCGACTAATAAATTTCGGTCGCTATTTTGGTCGGTCGCAAATTCGGTCGAAAAATAGCGACCGAAAAATTTCGGTCGCTAATTTCGGTCGCTATTTTGTATTTTTCTTGTAGTGAATGAGAAGCTAATTTATGTGCATTTGTTGCTTTTGTTTCTAGTTACAGGTGTTTTATGTCTTCTTCATCTTATTAATCTTCACTTTTCTCCACTTCTTCATTGTCCACTATCTTTGTTGAAAATTTTGGTCCATTTTTTATGACAAACCAAAGTTTGAAGTTGATGAATTGTATGAATATTTGCATACGTTCCTTTCACTCAGTGTAATTTATGCAATCGAAATATGGTGGCCTCAAAATAGGTTGTCCGTCAGTGACAATTTTCATATTACTACCTTCAATTAAGTCGATTTTCAGATTACTACCTATTAATTTATTATTTTTTATTTTAAATAACTGACTAATTTTTTTTCTTCAATTTAGTACCTGACGTTGGTCCCCCTCTGTCAAGTGATGACGTGGTAGATGGATTGTCACGTCATCACCCAACAGTGTTTGCCACGTCATCACCATGTCCATGTGGCAATCCCTTGGATGACGTGACAGATACTGTTGAGTGATGATGTGGCAGTCTATTTGTCATGTCATCATTTAACAGAGGAAACTAATGTCAAGTACTAAATTAAAAAAAAAATTGTCAGGTAATTTTAACAAAAAAAAAATTAAAAAGTAGTAATCTGAAAATCGAGCTAATTCGAGGTAGTTTAAACATATTTAAACCTAAAGGATTAAATGATCCTTGTAAAAATGAAAACAAAAATAGTTATTGAAAGTTGTATCCCCTTTATATATTAGTATAGATTTATTAGTTCCAAGTTCTTAAATTTAATTAAAAAATATTTTTTCTAATTTTTTTAAAATAAAAAGTTATAATGGTAAAAAAAAAGTAGAGACCAAAGTGGTTACTAAAAATGTATCCCCTTTATATTTTAGTATAGATAAAAAGATACTATTTAGTAATTATTTATTAGATTTTCATTTTTATTAAAAACTTTTACTCCTTGTTTAAAAGAGGTGCAACATGAGGACTTCCCAGGAGGTCACTCATCCTAGTACTACTCTCATCCAAGCACGTTTAATTGCAAAATTCTGATGGGATCCGATGCATTAATGCTAGTATGATCGCACCTATTTTCACATATAATAATAGTTATAATAAAGTGCTTATGGCTAGTTTTGAGACCAAGACCTCAAGCTTTTTTAAGTTTTTTTTTCTAATGCACACCTCTAGAAGTGTGAGGCAAAAGAATTTGCTTGTTCATTTTTTTTATTAAAAAATTTTACTCTCATATACTTTATAATTTTTTTTAAAACTTTTCACTTGCGCAACGAAAAGACTACCTATTTTTAAATTTTATTATATTTTGTTTATCATTTTAAAGAAGAAAATATATAACCCCAAGCGTGTGGTTCAGCGGTAGGGGTTGATCCACGCTTAAGTAAGGTCAGGAGTTCGAATCCTGTCTTGTATATGCAGTCGCGTTAAATCTTGGGGCCAACTATCCCACCCTTTGAAGTGCCTCCAACGTAGCGAGAAAATTAGTCACTGCTATCGACCATAGATACTCCAGAGACGAAAAAAAACTATCTTCTATCAAAATTACCTAATAAATAAATATATTGAGGCATAAAACACCTCTTTTTTCTCCTGGTGAACAATAGAGTAGGTAGTTACTTTATTTTATATATTTTTATTTCATGTTTTATTCTTAAAAAATAGGTAGTGAGAGAGAGGATATTGAAATATAAATATTCTAATAAGAATGGAGATGAAATAGAGGTATCTCCAATTTCATAAAATCTATCATTTTAATCCTTGCATGATATAATATTACGTAAATAACATGACAATTAAAATTTAATAATATTTAAATTAAATTTTACTTATAATTAGTTTTCATTTTATCTCATAAAAGTTATATAAAATGAAATCAAATGAGATAAAATTAAAAATGCAACTTAATCTAAAATATTATTAAATATTAATAATTATGTCATTTTCCTGATGTCAAAATTATAACTAATATTATAATTTTAACAATTAATGAATGAATATATTTGACGAGATGACCAAAATTACAAATTTTATAAAATTGAGAAACTAAAACCGTGAAAAATAAATGAACCAAAACTACGGATATGCTATTGTAAAGGGGCCAATAGTACTATTTAGCCTAATATTAGTTTTTATTCACTGATCTAAATCAAAATAGACTTAAATATGTTTTTATTTCTAAAATTCAAGTTTTGATTTTTGGTCTCTATAATTTTTTTTTTTATTTTTCATTCTTCAAAAATTTGTAAACATTATTTTTAGATTTTGTAAAATAGTTTTTGTCTTTGTAAAATGAGTGAATTTTGATTTTGGTCCTATAAACTATTTTTTCTTTGATTTCCATCATTTTAAAATCTAAAATTACGATTTTTTGGTCCTTAATGATGATTTTAAGGTATATAAATAAAAATTATTTAAAAGATCTTTAAAATTCTTTAATTGTATCGTATACAAACATGATATCATTAACAATTATAGATAACATTTAAGATGATCACTTAACTTTTTAATGAAAACTAAATACTTAAAAATGATTACATAATAATAGACTAAAAACAATAATTCTAAATTTTAGAAGAATGAGAAAAAAAAATTTATAGGAACTAAAATCTAAACTTATTCATTTTGCAAGGACTACAAATATATTTAACTCATCAAAATATATATATATATATTACTCATAATCACTTTAATGTGAATATTGTTAATTACTCTAACTTTAATATATGCTATAATTTTGAATAAGAATATAGTAATATCATCAATTAATCTGAATCAAAATATGTGGATAAAAGACACATATTAGAAGGAGGTTAAATACTATATATTAAAAACTCACACGTTTAAGCAACGAAGAGGAAAAGAACTTAATAGATGAAGTTCTAGAGAAAGGTCAGACGAAATACTAAAATTTTATACTAGTTCGTCTCAACTATCAAAACTATGTCTAGTTCTCAATCTAACTAAATTGAGTTTCACTATTTTTTAGACAAGATACAAGTATTATTTTAACAAATCACTTCTATCTCAATCTTAAATAGTCTTTGACTTGCTTCTTCAAGTAATTATTCAAGTATTCTTTGAACAACAAGTCTCTTCAAGTTTAATACCAAATATTCTTTCAAACAAGTATATTCAAGCTCAACCCTTACAATAAAGGTTACAATAATTTATACAAAATTTTACAGTGAGTGTTTCTTTGTATGCGTGTATGTATCTTTGATTGAATGCTTGATCCTTATATAGTAGTTTCAGAGAAGATGACCGTTGTGACAATTTGAGTTGAACACACAAGTTGCTTCGTTTGTCTTCATTGTTGACCTTAAAGGAAAAAGATTGTCGTTGTTTCATTTAATGCAAGCATTAAATATTTTACAGTAAAATGTGTATCTCTTAGATGATCTATCTAGGAAGCTACTTATTATCATTTATTTCTAAAATGAACATTACAAAAGTAATGTCAGCGTAGAGTAGTTAATGTCAGAGCAGAGTAGTTCTTCCAAACCTTTTTTTTGTGATACTCGGGATTTTGCCTTTTGATTCCGACAGATATTTTGACTTTTTTTTTCTTTAACAGATTTTTAGAGTTTCGAGATATCTTTCTTTTTCGATTTATTAAGGAATAAAATATTTAATGAAATTTATTATTAGTCTCAATTAAAAAAGTGTATGTTTAATACATAATGAAACAAATTGTATGCTTCGTCTAATTCTCTTCATCTAACAAACGATATACATTTTACACTTCATATGATATAGAATATTTTGTAGATAATTCATTTTCTTTTAAAAATAAAATCTTTCGTTTGTTATCATTAGAATTTGAGAAATTTAAGATTATTTTTTTACTTAACAAAATATATTATGATATTAATTATGTTAATTATATATTTTTATATAATGAAATAATAGTAAAAATTCAATTGCATTTTCATAGAAAATAATCAATGTGCGAGTTTTGTTTTTCGTTTTGGTAATTCTTTTTATCTCTCTAAAATTTAGAATCATTAATTTTGTTCCATATAATATGAGTCAATTTTGATTTTGTATCTTATAAAATATTTTTCTTTGATTTTCATTTACTAAGTTCAAAAGTTGTTATTTTTTTGTTCTTAATGATCATTTTAAGATATATATACTTGTTTTAAAGATCTATAAAGAAATTTAAGATATTACACATTGACATGATATTATTGACAATTGTTGGAACCACTTGGAGGTGGTCACTTTACCTTATAATAAGCATATAAGTGATTAATAAGATTACATAATACTATGAATTAAAAATAATAATTTTAAAATTTAAAGGAATAATTTTTTTTTCAATTTTTTTTTCATTTTATAAGGACTAACCTCATATTTAAGTATATATTTTCTTTTTCTACGAGACATGAAATTGACTCTTTCAATGAAATTTTAAGAGTGTGCAGAAAAAATATTTTTAATAAGTTGTTTGAAAGCTTATAACTTAGCTCAAGTTTATAAGCTATAGAAATATTTAACTTTGACAAGGCATTCGAGTTGATTACCTTATAAGTTAGTTCAATCAAAATAAATTTACGAGAACTTGTATACAAAAATTCAAATATCGAATGATCTAAGCAATATGTGATTTCTTTTGAAATAAACATGCATATATGTGTGATATATATGCAACAGAAATACCGTTAATTAGAATGTTAAAAAGGATGCATGAATACGTAAGAACTAATTGTTGTATAACATCATTTGCATTTTCAAAACTAATTGTTGGATAACTTTACAAAATAGCCTAGTTCTTTTCTTTTTACTGTTGTTTTCATATATAATTTCAAAATTAATAATTAAAGATTAATTTGTTTGTTGAAAGTGATTTCTATTGTCCAACATTCTTTTCTTCTCTTTGGTTCCTACACTTTATTACAGCACACATTGAAAAAAACAAAAAAAAAAACCTCGAAGACTGAAATCAACAGTACACAGAAAAGGTTTCCCAACCATACAGCGCAGATGTGGAGAAATACAATTCAATATTATAATTTTAACTAGTATGTATATTTTCTACCAAAGTCAACGACGTAGTAATTTCATCATGTCCAGCCCAAATATATTAATCTTAAACAATGTTTAGATAATATCATAAAAAAAGTTTGTATATATAACAAACAAAATGAAACATAGCTGTCACAAAAAATCTAAACTAAAAAATACCTATTCAAAGTTGCCAATGACACCGTCGAAGAGGCTCCCAAGTTCGATCAAATAATCCTCATACATCTCTGTTTCATCCTCGGAGTCATTAACCTTAAGCAAATTTGTGGCCTTAATAACTGCAGAACTGATCTTCTTCCTTTGTTGTGAACTGATATCATCCTTCTTTAAAACTTTCTCCATCTTGTAAACATAATCATCCAAAGCATTCAGTGCATTGGCCTTCCTACGGAACTTCCTATCTTCAACCTGGTATCTTTCAGCTTCTTGAATGATTCTTTTAATTTCTATTGGTGACAGTCTTTCTATGTTATTGGTTATGGTAACTTGGTTCCTATTGCCTGTGGTTTTTTCCTCGGCAGAAACAGTTAGGATACCATTTTCATCAATGGCAAAACACACATAAAGAGGATGGCCCAGAGGAACTTGAGGAAAGCCAGAAAGATAAAAATAACCCAACAAATTGTTATCATCTATTCTTGATCTCTCACCCTCATAAACGTCAACCAGGACAGAGGATTGGTTATCTTCAGCTGTACAGAATTCTTGTGTCCTCTTTACAGGAATAGTAGTATTCCTAGGAATCATGACACTCATGATATCTCCCTTGACTGATGTACCAAGTGAGAGTGGTGTAACATCCAACAGCTCCAAGTCTGGAACATTTTTAATGTCTTCACTATAAAAAGGATCCATAAAACGAAATCCACCGTAAACAATAAGCCAAGTGAAAAATCAACAAACAAAAATGGACAGGCTCAAAATCCTTTCGGTTATATAATGTAATCTCATTCAATCTTATTTTTAATCATGTAATTAACATCCGATTTCATTGTTTCACTAAATTCGTTTGATCTCAACTCCTTGTCACACAAACACTTTATTATCAATCGTGAACCCTGACTCTTTTGGTGAGCTTAATTGGAAACAAACATTATTAATTTCAAAAAATCATAACACATGCAAACATTCAAATCTTATTCCTGCCAAAATCAAAGGGAAATTTTATGGAGCACCACTATACATTTGATTATTATATAGGAGTGTATTGGATTTTATTAGGACAACAAAAAAGAATGTAAAAATTGTCTCAAATATTTTGAGAAATAGAACTGACAAGGGACGAATGAAAACAATATTTTTAAGATTGGATCAACTCTTAAATCAGATCATATTATTCGTACGTACATCGCAAGTAAATCAATAGATTTAAATTACAATGAATTTTCAAGGCCTATTCTCATGAGCGCAAACTCAACATTATCTGTTTGCCACTTTTAAAGAGTTAAGAACATTTTGATATATAAACATGCATGTGTCATATAAATATAAAACGAAATACCGTTAATTAGACTGTTAAAAAGGATACATAAGAAAATATATTTGTATAACATCATTTGCATTTTCAAAACTAATTGTTGTATAACTTTCAAAATAGCCTAGTTCTTTTCTTTTTATTGTTGTTTTCATATAGAATTTCAAAATTAATAATTAAAGATTAATTTATTTGTTGAAAGTGATTTCTATTGTCCAACATTCTTTTCTTCTCTTTGGTTCCTACACTAAAAAAAAAAAAAAAAAAAAAAAAAAAAAAAAAAACTCGAAGACTGAAATCAACAGTACACACACCATACAGCGCCGATGTGGAGAAATACAATTTAATATTATAATTTTAACTAGTATGTATATTGACTACCAAAATCAACGACGTAGTAATTTCATCATGTCCAGCCCAAATATATTAATCTTAAACAATGTTTAGATAATATCATAAAAGAAGTTTGTATATATAACAAACAAAATGAAACATAGCTGTCACAAAAAATCTAAACTAAAAAATACCTAATCAAAGTTGCCAATGACACCGTCCAAGAGGCTCACAAGTTGGATCAAATAATCCTCATACATCTCTGTTTCATCCTTGGAGTCATTATCCTTAAGAAAATTTGCGGCCTTAATAACAGCAGAACTGATCTTCCTTTGTTGTGAACTGATATCATCCTTCTTTAAAACTTTCTCCATCTTGTAAACATAATCATCCAAAGCATTCAGTGCATTGGCCTTCCTACGGAACTTCCTATCTTCAACCTGGTATCTTTCAGCTTCTTGAATCATTCTTTTAATTTCTATTGGAATCCTTCTTTAAAACTTTCTCCATCTTGTAAACATAATCATCCAAAGCATTCAGTGCATTGGCCTTCCTACGGAACTTCCTATCTTCAACCTGGTATCTTTCAGCTTCTTGAATGATTCTTTTAATTTCTATTGGTGACAGTCTTTCTATGTTATTGGTTATGGTAACTTGGTTCCTATTGCCTGTGGTTTTTTCCTCGGCAGAAACAGTTAGGATACCATTTTCATCAATGGCAAAACACACATAAAGAGGATGGCCCCGAGGAACTCGAGGAAAGCCAGAAAGTTTAAAATAACCCAACAAATTGTTATCACCTGCTCTTGATCTCTCACCCTCATAAACTACAACCGGGACAGAGGATTGGTTATCTTCAGCTGTATAGAATTTTTGTGTCCTCTTTACAGGAATAGTAGTATTCCTAGGAATCATGACACTCATGATATCTCTCTTGACTAATATACCAAGTGAGAGTGGTATAACATCCAACAGCTCCAAGTCTGGAACATTTTTAATGTCTTCACAAGGGCTAAATACATTTGTAATTGCTAAAGTGAAGGCCCGGAAGTTAGGATTAAAATATTGGAGGATTGTGAAATTGAGGGTGTTGATTCAGGACATTTACCTTGAAATATGAATAGCTAATAAGAAAGTAAAAAACCGCTTTGAATCTGTCTTTGGGTCCTTTCCTTCTTACTAACCGTCACAATCCTGATTCTGCACAAACTTGTCAAACACGAGTATACCATCAAATGAAACAAGATGCGTCCATAAAAGTTATAGTTCAAGTTACCAATTTCGCCCATGCATTCATTCAGTGATATAATTTTTCCCGTTGTCTCATACTTGGCGACTAAGCTCTATAACTAGTGACATGAAAGATTAAATTGAGGCCCTAATGCCGAGATTAAAACATTGGAGGGGCACCAATTTTGGGTACTAAGATTTTGTTAAATCCAAAACAATGCTTCTAAAGAAAAACAAAAGTAGTTCATTTATTTATATAAACCCTCATGTCAAAGCTAAAAAAAGCGAAAAAAATTCTCCCCATTTATTTTTTTCATCATTTCTTTCATTGCTATGAATTTGGAAAAATTAAAGGTACCCTCCATTAAGTGTGTATCATGTCCATTTTTCATTTTATTTGTTTTCTCAAATCCTTATTGAGGGAAGAAACGGAGAAAAAAAAAATGACGCAAAGCAAGTTTTGTTTCAAAAGAAAAATGAGCACACACAAACCAGTCGTTACTGCACCACTACGTAGGTATTAATAAACAAGCAATCAACAAAAGTGTAACGAGTAAAATGAATCAAAAGGTTAAAGCATGTGTGTGTAAGCACAACAATAAATAAAAAGAAAGAAAAAACACATGAACTTCGGGTAAGAAAATGGTTGCAATACCTTGAAAAGTTAAAAGCTCTGTCTTTGGCCTTGAAATGTCTGAAAGAGCAAGATGATTGTAGCTGTTTGTTAGTAGAGAACACTGTCAAATATGAATATAAGTTGCTTCCATGATGCCTCTCTTCTCTCTCCTAGAGACTTCTCAACGAAGCTAACACATTTTCCTTTTCTTATCAAATTACCTTCACATCATCACATGCCTAACGGAAATCACCACTTTATTATTCGGCTTTTTGACCCAAGTAATTAAAAAAAAAAAAAATACACAAAATAAATTAAAAAAAAACTCATATTTATTATTTTTTTTATTTTTTTTATTTTTATAAAAGAAATATAATATTTTTAAATTATTTTTTATTATATTATAATTATAATTAAATTCTTTATTTATCTCATATTATAATAAATAATCATATATAAAAAATATTTTTTTTTTAATATAATTAAATTAAAATTTAGTATTAAATTAAAAATGATAACGATGATAGATATAGGTACAGGTACGATGCGGATAAATACATACATGTACCTATATTTAATTTAATATATCGAGTTTTACCTGTATTCATATTTAGTCAAACTAAGTATTTCCAGGTGAAACAAATTCAAATATTACTCACGAGCACATGTATATTTATTATCCTTACTAAATGCTCATGAACTCATCACGAGGATTAATAAGGATTCTTTAAATCAATCACCCTCACGAGGATTAATAAGGATTCTTTAAATCAATCACATATGTTACATTTAAATTATGAGACTGAGGCGTTTTTAAACATACATTTTTTTTATTAGTTAAATTTGATTAACAATCATAAAATTTTGTATTTTCTTTGCATGAAAGATATTTTTATTATATATATATTTATTTATAATTATGTTATTAATTTAAAGTAAAATTTGAGATGATGCTATTAATAACTAATAACATCCAACAGCTCCAAGTCTGGAACATTTTTAATGTCTTCACTCAACAAAGCAGCCTGCACAGCTGCACCGTGAGCAACAGCTTCGTCAGGGTTAATGTTCTTGCACAGATCCTTCCCCTCGAAGAATTCCTGCAATAGTTTCTGCACTTTGGGAATCCTAGAAGAGCCACCAACAAGAACAACATCATCTACACTGCTCTTATCCATATTAGCATAAGTAAGACACGCATCTACTGTCTTCATACACTCTTCAAAGAGATCCATATTGATTTCCTCAAACCTTGCTCGAGTGACTAGAGAAGAGAAGTCAATGCCCTGAAATAAAGCATCTACCTCAATGGTGGTATCAACAGCGTATGAAAGTGTCCTTTTTGCCCTTTCACAAGCAGTTCTTAACCTCCTCAAGGCCCTTGGGTTCCCACTAATGTCCACTTTCTTCTTCCTCTTGAACTCCTCTACAAAGTAGTTTACCATTCTGTTGTCAAAGTCCTCTCCTCCAAGGTGAGTATTTCCTTCAGTGGCCTTAACTTGGATAACTTTGTCCTTAAATGTGAACAAAGACACATCAAAAGTCCCACCACCTAGGTCAAAGATGAAAATGTTTCGGTCTCCAACACAATTAGTTCTCTTGTCAAGGCCATATGCAATAGCTGCAGCGGTAGGTTCATTGATTATTCGCATAACAGTGAGGCCAGCAATTGCAGCAGCATCAATGGTGGCTTTTCGCTGAGAGTCATTGAAATAAGCAGGCACGGTAACAACAGCTTTCTTTACAGGTGATTCCAAATACGCCTCTGCAATCTGCCGCATGTTTGTCAGGACCATGGCTGATACTTCCTCAGCGCAAAGACGCTTCTCTTGACCCTTGTACTTAACTATGATCATGGGTTGATCATTAACACCAGCAACAACCTTGAATGGCCACAACATTTTGTCTTTTTGAATAATGGGATCACTATATTTCCTACCAATTAACCTCTTAGCATCTGCAGAAGTTATAAGAAATGTCATGGTTCATCTGTCATGTACTCATGGTAAAAAGAATGACACTGTAGTAGCTGAGCATAGAAAATATACCAAAGACAGTGTTTTCTGGGTTGGCAGCAGCCTGATTCTTAGCGGCATCACCAATCAATCTCTGCTTGTCTGTGAAAGCGATGCAAGAAGGTGTTGTTCTGTTGCCTTGGTCATTATGGATTATTTCTACTCTATTATGTTGCTCCTGCCACACTGCAACACAAGAGTACGTTGTGCCAAGGTCGATTCCTACGGCAAATTGATCTTCTTTGGCCATTCTCTTTCACTTGCAGTATGGAAACTAGAAAATCCGAAGACTGAGTGCCTTTAAATTATAGTGTGATATAAGTTGCATTTACTTATAGTAATTATCCTATTTAGGTAATGGAGTAATTTTTTGTTACTTTACATTTGGGAAATGATGAACCAATTAATCAAATGAAGTAACGGATTGAGACTTGAATCGTCCACAGTTTTGTAACTTTTTTATTCTACTAGTTTAGAATGTAAGAAATAAAATGGAGACTATCCTAAAATATAAACCACATAATTTCATAACATTATTATGAGATTGAGTTTACACTTTTAATTCATTAGATTTTTTTTAAAAGAGTCATTATTAGGTAGTTTATGATATTATGTGCTCATAATTCTAACCTATTTTTATTCTCTACATGTACAAACTCAAATTTCAATATGTTTGAGTTTTTTTTTTTTACAAGACTCTTCAAATTGTCTATTGCCTTATTTTTTGACTTAGAATATCCTCACTGCTTAACTCTTCATACTTTTTTCGAATTGTCTATTGCATTTGGTTCAATGCACTATGATAGAAGTAAAAAACTTTTAATTTAATAGTAAGCTTTATAAATAATTAATTAATTGAAAGCTTATAGAAAAAAATATCGATGTAACTTTCATCAACTATTATATTGTTCAATAACTTTATATAAAAATAAATTTTATCAATCTATTCATTGAATTAAATTTTTTTTTACTTAAATTATATATACAAAATTTTATATTAATTTAAAATTACTTGATACTATATTTATATATTAAAATCTACATAATATATACATTTAAAAATGTACTAAAATATGAACAATTTTATTATCATTTTACTCATGTTTAATTTCAATAAAATTTGATGTAATGAAAAGTTATAATTCAACAATTGAATTATAAAATTTAATTTTTATATAAAATTATTAAATAGTATAATAATTATAAAAGTTTCACCAATATAATTTAATTTCTTTCCCACACAGTAAAAAAAAAGAGTAGACGATACTATTAAATATTTGATAACTTTTCACTTTGCTTCCATAATTTTAGCTATTTTTTAAATATCTATTTGAGCAAATTACACTTAGCATCAGTTAGAATAATCCATATCGTTCTAATATATAACAAAAATGTAAATATTGAGATAAGAATATTTTCTATTTGCACTTCTTTGGTCCAGAAAGCCTAACACTAAAGCAAAATCAATAAAAGATGTACTTACTACAAAATAAACTAGTAAGCTGTAATGTAATCATGCAACGATCAGAAGGATAAATTAGAAGTAAATTTCAGTCAGCCAAAAAATATCCAGTATATAAAAAGTTACCAAACTTATACAATTTTAAGTTAATACCAATAGTTTGCATTTAACAAAAAGAAAATTGCAAGTCAACGTCAAATTACTTTTAAAGAACAACTAAACAATCTAGCTAGCCCATGGCCTTGAGGCTTCCAAAGAAGCTCTCAAGCTCTTTCAAACAATCCTCGAACATAGATATATCATCTTGCTCATAGTTCTCATCAAGCAAATCAGTAGCCTTATTTATAGCAGAACTGATATCCTCTTTTTCTTGTGAGCAAAGCATTGAGTTTATATCCTCCTTCTTTAAGACATTCCTTATTTTGTAAACATAATAATCCAAATCATTCCTTGTTTTGGCCTTCTTAAGAAACTTGTTATCTTCGGCCTTATAAATCTCTGCCTCTTGTATCATTCTTTCAATTTCTTTGGTTGACAATCTGTCTTTATCACTGGTTATGGTAATTTTATTCTTATTACCAGTGGTTTTCTCCTCAGCAGAAACAGACAATATGCCATTTTCATCTATAGTAAAGCATTCAAACAAAGGAAGGCCACGAGGAGCAGGTGGAAGATTAGAAAGAGTAAAGAAACCCAACAAATTGTTATCACTGGCTCTTGTTCTCTCGCCCTCGTAAACCTTAATAGCAACAGATGATTGGTTATCATCAGCTGTACAATATTCTTGTGTCTTCTTTACAGGAATGGTAGTATTTCTAGGAATCACCACACTCATTAAATCTCCTTGGACAAACACACCAAGTGACAACGGTGTAACATCCAACAGCACCAAATCTGGAACATTCTTAATGTCTTTACTCAACAAAGCAGCTTGCACAGCTGCGCCATAAGCAACAGCCTCGTCAGGGTTGATGCTCTTGCAAAGATCCTTTCCATTGAAAAAGTCCTGCAATAACTGCTGCACTTTGGGAATCCTAGAAGAGCCACCAACAAGGACCACATCATGTACACAGCTCTTCTCCATCTTAGCATCACTAAGACACCTTTCTATTGTCTCCATACACTCTTCAAAGAGTTCCATATTCAGTTCCTCAAACCTTGCACGAGTGATTGAAGAGCAAAAGTCTACGCCCTGAAATAAACCATCTACCTCAATGTTAGTTGTAACAGCATACGAGAGTGTCCTTTTTGCCCTCTCACATAGTAACTAATAGAACACAAGATACTAGGAACGGTGTTCGAAGAATCTCAAATTGCAGGAAGCTCTATAAAAGAAAGAACCTCGAGACTTTATTACCAAAGAGAATACAGAGAGAAGATTATCTCATATTATAATAAATAATCATATATAAAAAATATTTTTTTTTTAATATAATTAAATTAAAATTTAGTATTAAATTAAAAATGATAACGATGATAGATATAGGTACAGGTACGATGCGGATAAATACATACATGTACCTATATTTAATTTAATATATCGAGTTTTACCTGTATTCATATTTAGTCAAACTAAGTATTTCCAGGTGAAACAAATTCAAATATTACTCACGAGCACATGTATATTTATTATCCTTACTAAATGCTCATGAACTCATCACGAGGATTAATAAGGATTCTTTAAATCAATCACCCTCACGAGGATTAATAAGGATTCTTTAAATCAATCACATATGTTACATTTAAATTATGAGACTGAGGCGTTTTTAAACATACATTTTTTTTATTAGTTAAATTTGATTAACAATCATAAAATTTTGTATTTTCTTTGCATGAAAGATATTTTTATTATATATATATTTATTTATAATTATGTTATTAATTTAAAGTAAAATTTGAGATGATGCTATTAATAACTAATTTCTATCATAAAATACAGTGACAATTCCAATAATGTTTCCTTTCCATCCACAACCACATATTTTTTAATTTACAAAGTTTCAAATTTGAGATGTAAAAATCAAACCCAAACCCCCCTTCAAATGTCGATAAACTAAGTTATTTATCAATTATATATTTTAGAGCTTATTTTCATACTCACAATATTTAATAAATTTCATAAAAATTTAATACATCATTTAATTCATAAAGTTTTTTTTTTTAATTTTCATTTACATTTTTAAACCAAACCTTAAACTAAATTATTGATAATTAGATATTTATTTTTAAATATTTATTTTTTATTATTAAAGAGTATTTTTATCAAATATAAGAAAAAAATTTATTGAGATTTGACTGACAATAAATAGATGAATATTAATGCCTCCTCTTACCTTGAGTGGTTTTGCAATAAAGAATCACAAGTTGCACTTCAATCACAAATAAGTCACTTAAGTCATATAATCTTTTTATTCACATTTGAGCCATATAATTATAATTTCATTTATAATACATGAAATTTTATAAATATTTTTAAAGTCCACATATCTAAAGAATCATATGAAATTATTATTTTATATAAGACATTAAAAATATTTTACAAAATATTATGAATAATAAAAAAATTTCTAATCCTTAAGACTGAATTATAAAACTTTATTTTATTTTTAATTTTATAAGCATAAATTAATTTCTAATTATCAATTTTGAGATATGTATAAATTTTATATATATAAAAAAATACAAAATTTTAAAATTAAGAAATTAATTATAATTTTTGAATTTTATAAAATCATTGAAAAATCTTTAACGTAGTGCTTGTTTCGGGTGATTTACTGTTTACGAGCAACGAAAGGCGATGAAAGTTGGCGTTTGTTTCCACCGATTTGCGACGATGGAAAGGCGAAGAAAAGCGAGGAGAAGCACTGTTGCTCTCCTCGCACGAGAGGGAAGAAAAGAGGTGAAAGACACGTAGGATTTGTTGAAATCCGAAAATGCCCCTCTCATGCATGTGCCATGCAGCAGAGGATTCACGTTCAACGAAGGATCATAATCGATTACGTGGCAACCATAATCGATTATGCAGGTATAAACCCTCATGTCAAAGCTAAAAAAAGCGAAAAAAATTCTCACCATTAATTTTTTTCATCATTTCTTTCATTGCTATGAATTTGAAAAAATTAAAGATACTCTCCATTAAGTGTGTATCATGTCCATTTCATTTTATTTGTTTTCTCAAAACCTTATTGAGGGAAGAAACGGAGAAAAAAAAAATGACGCAAAGCAAGTTTTGTTTCGAAAGAAAAATGATGAAAAGTGTAATGAGTAAAATGAATTAAACGGTTAAAGGATGTGATACCTTGAAAAGTGAAAAGCTCTTTCTTTGGCCTTGAAATGTCTGAGAGAACAAGATGACCGTATTGAATATAAGTTGCTTCCATGATAGTTCTCTTCTCTCTCCAACAGACTTCTCAACGAAGCTAACACATTTTCCTGTTCAAACGGAAATCACGGCTTTTATCCATCCATATCTATATTAATATATAAAGTCTTACTTTTTATAACTATTGAATTTCATATTTTATCATTATTATACATTTTTATTTTAATTTTTAAAAAAATAATATCTTTAATCAAATTCAAAAACTTGAAATTAATAGATTAATTATAATGTTAATTAGACTAATATATTTTTATTACTTAATTTTTATCTTATTTTGATAATCATTTTATTTTATTTTTATTTTTTAGTATCCATTACTTATAAGTATTTATTTATTATTTGTGATGAATTTTATCCATAAATACTCGTTGACATGAGTAATTTTACCATCCCTATCTATTATTCACAATCACTTTAATTTGAATATTGTTAAATACTTTAACTTAAATATATGCTATAATTTTGAATAAAAATATATTAATATTATCAATTAATTCGAATCAAAATATAGTGTCTTAATTATGTCAACCATATATTTTTATCAATTAAATTAATAGTCAAAATTTTATTATATTTTAATAGAAAAATAATGAAAATAGCAAGTTTTTCTTTTCGTGTGGTAATTTTTTTTTATTTCTAAAATTTGGAATCATTAATTTTGCTTCTTATATTATGAGTAAATTTTGATTTTAAACTTGTAAAAGAAAATTTTTTTGATTTCACTCTCCTAAGTTTCATAGTTGTTTTTTTTCTTCTTCTTTTTAATGGTCATTTAGAGATAAATAAATAATATTTATTTAAATATTTATAAAAAGAAAATTAAATATCACACACCCACATATATTATTAACAATTGTTGGAGCCACTCGAGATAGTTACTTTACTTTATAATAAACACATAGGTGATTAATAAAGATTACATAATGCTATAAATTAAAAAAAAATTAAGATTTTAAAAAATAAAAAAAATGTTTTTAAAGTTACTAAATTCAAAATTTGTTCATTTCATAAAGATTAAAATCACATTTAAGTATATATTTTCTTCTCTTTTTTTACGAGAAATACGAAATTGACTAATGTGTAAAAAAAAATTAATAAATTATTTGAAAGCTTATAAGTTACTTAAATTTATAAGTTATAAAAGTGTTTGACTTTGACAAGATACTTGAGTAGACTATCTTATAAGTTAGTTCAATCAAAATAAATTTATTTGATAGAACTTATAACTTATTTCTCTAAGCTAATTAAAATAATTTATATTTTATAAGCTTTTAGTTATTTTTATTTCCTTTTTTATCCCCTATGATTTACTTAATTATTTTTTTTTGCATTTTTTCAATTAGAAACCCTTTCGCCTATCCTCTCGTTCACTCTTATTTTCAAATAAATATTTTTTATATATATTATTTTACATTAATTAACTAATTACCCATTAATCTTACTAAACATTTTGAATTAGAATAATTAGTGTTGGTCAGTTAGTTTATAAATGATATTATCAGTTGACGGCTCAAGACTTTCATATTTTTGTTTTTCAATTTCCATAAAGAGATACCGTACGTGCACGAAGAGACCCTCTTAATGGGAATATATAAATACCAAGTGGCGATTTCCAATGGCAGGAAGATATAAATTCATTTTATGAAATCAAGATGCATTCATGTCTACGCATATACACTAGTTTTAAGTATTTGTGTCGTTTAAGTTCATATTTCACATTTATAAATAAAAAAACAAACCCCTATATTCAACAAAACTTCAAGTCTTTGCTTGAATTCAATTAACTTTTATTCACGTGAAAGAGAATGGCCAAAGGTGACCATGGATTTTCCATAGGAATCGACCTTGGTACAACCTACTCCTGCGTTGCAGTGTGGCTGGACCAACAAAATAGAGTGGAAATAATCCACAATGACCAAGGCAACAGAACAACACCTTCTTTTGTTGCTTTTACAGATGATCAGAGGTTGATTGGTGATGCTGCTAAGAATCAGGCTGCTGCAAATCCAAACAACACTGTCTTTGGTATATTTTCTACTTGCAACTGTTAATGCCTTACATTTATGAATTCTCTTACATCTTGTTTAAATATAAGTTAATAGTATTTTGAGAGCTTCTCTAACCTCTACCGAGAATAAAGAACTATTTTCACGAGGGAAAGTTCTACAAAAACACTTTTAAATTTATGTTCAAGCAAGTTAGACTTTTAGCGAGATAAATAAAATACAATAATTTTTTTTAATTAACTTTGCAGATGCTAAGAGGTTGATTGGTAGGAAATACAGTGATCCCATTATTCAGATAGACAAAATGATCGGATTCGAGCAATGGCGACCGGTCGTGGCGGCTGAACTTCGACGGGTTTCAGCTTTCTTCGAAGCACACGGAGAAGCAAGTGAAACCCCCTCGCGGACTCCATGACTGTTATGGCGTTCTAGGTAACACTACAATCGCATCTTCGTTTTATTTATTTTTCACATTTTTCATTATTTTTAATTTTTAGAATATGCTTTGTTTTAGAAAGAAAAAATAAAATTAAAGTAGACAGAGATTTTCACTATTTTTTCATGGAATGGGAATCTGCAATTTGCTTTACACTTGTGGTTCTGGTTTAATTGCGGTTTCAGTGCTGATAGAATTTTTCTGTTTTGGTGTGTTTTTTTAGTTTTTTCCCCTCTTTATATTTGTCGTCTTTTCATTTGAAGTCCAAATGATGCTTTTGTTTTCTTAAAGATGCTATTAGTGGATTTCATCCAGTGTGAGTATGCCATGCCATGTTTTGTTCCTTTTCTAAGACCGGGTTTGTTAATGTGTGATGGAATTTGGAGGTGGGTTAGATATAAGTATATGATGCGGTAGCTTTGTACTATCCTCTCGTTCACTCTTATTTTCAAATAAATATTTTTTATATATATTATTTTACATTAATTAACTAATTACCCATTAATCTTACTAAACATTTTGAATTAGAATAATTAGTGTTGGTCAGTTAGTTTATAAATGATATTATCAGTTGACGGCTCAAGACTTTCATATTTTTGTTTTTCAATTTCCATAAAGAGATACCGTACGTGCACGAAGAGACCCTCTTAATGGGAATATATAAATACCAAGTGGCGATTTCCAATGGCAGGAAGATATAAATTCATTTTATGAAATCAAGATGCATTCATGTCTACGCATATACACTAGTTTTAAGTATTTGTGTCGTTTAAGTTCATATTTCACATTTATAAATAAAAAAACAAACCCCTATATTCAACAAAACTTCAAGTCTTTGCTTGAATTCAATTAACTTTTATTCACGTGAAAGAGAATGGCCAAAGGTGACCATGGATTTTCCATAGGAATCGACCTTGGTACAACCTACTCCTGCGTTGCAGTGTGGCTGGACCAACAAAATAGAGTGGAAATAATCCACAATGACCAAGGCAACAGAACAACACCTTCTTTTGTTGCTTTTACAGATGATCAGAGGTTGATTGGTGATGCTGCTAAGAATCAGGCTGCTGCAAATCCAAACAACACTGTCTTTGGTATATTTTCTACTTGCAACTGTTAATGCCTTACATTTATGAATTCTCTTACATCTTGTTTAAATATAAGTTAATAGTATTTTGAGAGCTTCTCTAACCTCTACCGAGAATAAAGAACTATTTTCACGAGGGAAAGTTCTACAAAAACACTTTTAAATTTATGTTCAAGCAAGTTAGACTTTTAGCGAGATAAATAAAATACAATAATTTTTTTTAATTAACTTTGCAGATGCTAAGAGGTTGATTGGTAGGAAATACAGTGATCCCATTATTCAGATAGACAAAATGATGTGGCCATTCAATGTTGTTGCTGATATCAATGACAAACCTATGATCATCATTAAGTACAAAGGGCAAGAGAAGCTCCTTTCCGCTGAGGAAATATCATCTATGATCCTCATGAAAATGAAGGAGATTGCAGAAGCATATTTGGAAGCACAGGTAAAAGATGTTGTTGTTACTGTGCCGGCTTATTTCAATGACTCTCAGCGAAAAGCCACCATAGACGCTGCTTTAATTGCTGGCCTCAATGTTATGCGGATAATCAATGAACCTACTGCTGCAGCTATTGCATATGGCATTGACAAGAGAACTAACTGTGTTGGAGAGCGGAATATTTTCGTTTTTGACCTTGGTGGTGGTACTTTTGATGTGTCTCTTCTCACAATTAAGGATAAGGTCTTCCAAGTTAAGGCCTCTGCTGGAAACACTCACCTAGGGGGAGAGGACTTTGACAACAGAATGGTGAATTACTTTGTAGAGGAGATCAAAAGGAAGAACAAAGTGGACATTAGTGGGAACTTAAGAGCGCTAAGGAGGTTGAGAACTGCATGTGAAAGGGCAAAACGGACACTCTCCTTTGCCGTTAGTACCTGTGTTGAGGTTGATGCTTTGTTCCAAGGCATTGACTTATGTTCTTCAATCACACGTGCAAAGTTTGAAGAAATTAATATGGAGCTCTTTGTGGAGTGCATGGAGACTGTAGATAGGTGTCTTAGTGATGCTAAGATGGAGAAGAGCAGTGTGCATGATGTTGTCCTTGTTGGTGGGTCTTCTAGGATTCCCAAAGTGCAACAACTCTTGCAAGACTACTTCAATGGGAAGGATCTTTGCAAGAGTATCAACCCTGATGAGGCTGTTGCTTATGGTGCAGCTGTGCAAGCTGCTTTGTTGAGTGAAGGATTTAAGAATGTTCCTGATTTGGTTCTGTTGGATGTTACACCTCTGTCACTTGGTATAGCCGTAAAAGGAGATCTCATGAGTGTTGTGATTCCTAGGAATACTCCTATTCCTGTACAGAAGAAACAAATATACGGAACATTCAAAGATGACCTAACTTCTGTTCAGATAAATGTGTATGAGGGTGAGAGAACAAAAGCCAGTGATAACAATTTGCTTGGTTTTTTTAGTCTTTCCGGTTTTCCTCCTGCTCCTAAGTATCATCCTTTTGATATATGCTTTGATATAGATGTCAATGGTATTTTGTCAGTTTCTGCAGTGGAAACAGTCACTTGCTATAAGAATGAGATTACCATAATCAATGATCAAGGAAGATTGTCAGCAGAAGAAATTAAACGAATGATACAAGAAGCTGAGACTTTCCAGGCTGAAGATAAGAAGTTCCATAGAAAAGCTAATGCAATGAATGCTTTGGATGCTTACGTTTACAAGATGAAGAGTTTTTTAAAACAGGAAGATATCAAGTTAAAACTTTTGTCACAGGAAAGGGAGGAGATTAGTTCTGCAATTACGAAGGCCATGAATTTGCTTGATGGTAAGAATCTGCATGATGATGGAGATGTGTTTGAAGATTATCTGAAAGAGCTTGCTAACCTTTTTGAACCCATCATGGGCAAGTTTGGTTAAGTGTTTCTTAGTCTATGCTTTTTTGTGGTGCTGGCTTTTCATTTCGTAGTTTTCTCTTTCATTGAAAAGTTACTGTCATTGTGTATGTGATGATTGCAAACTTTCATGAAGAATATTATCTGAAGTCTAAAAGATGTAATGTTGAAGTTTAAATTATTTGTACTGAACATGTTTAAATTTGTGATCCTTTGACTACTTCTCTGTCTACAACTCGATAAAATTTTAGTACTACCGTTGTCATGCACAGGGACGGAGCCAGGATTTCAATACTGGGGGGCCGAGAATTGGAATGATCAAATGAGGCGCTACATTTTTTTAAAAAAAAAAAAATTCCAAAGTGATACCACATAGCAGGCCGTACCAGAAGTCCAAAAGTTGAATAAAAAAATAAATTTGGGTTATTCATTTAATTATACATATGAGTTTATATTAAAAATAGGGGGTGCCATATAGTAATATATATGTATATAAAAAAAAATTAAAATTGTTGGGGGGGCCGTGGCACCCGTAGGTCCCCCCTTGGCTCCGTGCTTGGTCATGCACAATAAGGCTCCTCTATATACTGTTGTTGATTTTCTTTTGGTCCAAAGTGTGGTGTAAGTGCATGTAAGAGGCAAAAGAGGAAAGTATATTGGGCACCTTTTGGAGTAGATGATGAGTTAAAATATTGGAATATTGGAAAATTATCATGTTTGTGAAGTGTATTTTTTTGTTAAATTTTATAGCTGATTTTACTGTGATGTGTTCTAAACAGTTTTCTCCCAGTTGTGTTGTGACTGGAAATTTTAAAGCATTCGGTGACATTAATGCTGTTACAATACTCTACAGTGATGAAATAGGGTGACCACTTTTTTCCAAATTTATCCAAAGAAAGATTACCCTAAAGAGAAAAAATTAATATTGGAAGTAACCTATACTCTATTTTTAATTGATTGACATTTTAGTATTCAAATAATGGTCTAATTATTCTTTTAATAATTATAATTATATAAATTTTACTTTTAATTTTAATAGTTTAAAACATTCAATTTCTACACTCATATATAAACAAAAAAAATCTAAATAATAGTACTTGATATATAAATTTAGAGGGACTATACACAAAATTTTACTTATAACTGATTAGGTATCTGGTCACTCATGAGTAAATAAATTATTAATTAGGTAATTTAAGACTACTAATCCATAATTTTAACAATCTCTACATAAATTAATAGTACTTAATAAGATATTATATAGGATGATAATGAGTAGGGTCTAGATAGGGTTCTATAGTACTTATCTTTATACCTGCGTTTACAAAGAAAATACGTATCTAATCTCATATTTACACGAAAAATTACAAAATATTTAATTATTGTAAATAAATTTTACAAAAAGCGATGATGTCAAAAGGCAGGATACAAAACAAACGATGAATAACAACATAATGGTAAGTGAAGATAGAGATAGTAAAAAAGAAAAATTGAGATTAGATAAAATTTTAATTATAATATCATAATATAATTTAAATAAATAAATAAATTATTATAAAATAATCATATTATATATATATATATAGGACGGGACAAATTGAATATCGTAATACCTGTATTCACACTTATATTCTACTCTATACCCATCCTTGTAAATAAATATTTACTCATTCCACGTTTAGGTATTTTTGTGGACATTCATAAAGTACGAGTCTATTTTATTATTCTAATATTATGTAAAAATTCATTAGGAATTACACCTAATATTAGGGGTTTTTTTTTCTATCACATTTTTTGTATGCTTGAACTTAATGAACATTGTCGGTAGTTTTCAACAAATACTGAAACATCTATTTCAATTTTGCCTCCTAATAGATAATGCTGTCTCATAATTTGTTAATTTATAATATACTTTATCCATCTTAAATCAACTTTAGTTTAAGATTTTTATACAAAAAAATAATAATAAATATATCATTTTTTAATAAATTTTGTTAAAATCTTATATTCTTTCAATAAATGTATTATTTTTAGTGACTGCAAGTTAATATTAATGTAATTTATGTGTAGACAAATTAAGATAAATATTACATTAAAAATCGATAATATAAGTTATTTTGAAATTATTTTTAAATGCTAAAACTAAAATTAAAACTATAATTATTTTAAAATGAAAGTATTTATAATTATTTTAGGATAAATTTATTTTTGTATCTCAAATTTAAAGTTATTATTTTTAGTCCATATAATTTTTAAAAATTTTATTTTAGTCTTCCAAACCACTAATAATATATCTAAAAATAACAAATTGAAACAATTATATAATATCAACTGAGTTTAATATAATATTTTTAATAATAACAACATCAATAACTAGAATTTATATAACAATATTTAATAGATTTTCTAACAAAATTTGAAAATAAAAATTAAAATAAGACATTTTGAATTATAAAATTAAAAAATTAATTTTATATTTAAAGGACTAAAAATATATTTAATAATAAAATTTAACACTGAGAAATAGGGGTGGGCATGGATCGGTTTTTTAAAAAAACCAATTCAAACCGATCCGATCCGCTTTTAAATGAATTGGTTTAGTAGATTCTGATCCGATCCAGTTTACTGATCCGATTTTGAACCGAACCTAATTAATGGATTAGTTTCGAACCAATTTCGATCCAGATTTATGGATTAATCCATTTCTAAAATGGATCAGATAAAAACCGGTTTAAAACCAGTTTTTTGAAACCAGTTTTTTGAAACCAGTTTTTTAACCAGTTTTTTAAAACAGATTTTTTAAACCAATTTTTTGAACCAGATTTTGTAAAACAATTTTTTTAACCCAATTTTTAATTTTGATTTTTTAATCATATTTTTTACCAATATTTTTAAACCCAGATTTTAAAGCTATTTTTTAGAAGTAAAAGGAATAAACTATAACATGAAAAATAAAGACATCCATGGAAATAACTATCACCACCTATTAAGAATTACAATATATATCTTAATTCTTAAAAGAAACTTAAAAATATCCGATTCAAAACATTCCACTAAGTATTTGTTCAATTGACTTTGAGTTTTACCTAAGGCTATATACCCTTTTAAATCAAATCAAAATATCCACTAAGTAATCACTATGAAATAAATTTTAATTTTTATATATCATCATCAAATAATAAGTTAAATCTATGAATACTATAAATGTAAAGGGGCATCACCTATGTTTGAAATAACAAAATTTATTTGAAAACATGACTATCCATGAATAAGAAAGAGAGATATCTTAAATTTTTTTTTTTTTTAAATTGACTAAACTCAATTTTAATTTATGTTAAAAAATTGGATAAACTTAATTTCATTAAAAAAATTGACTAAAGTGAAGATACACATTTAATTTATTATTTGTGTAACATAATTCTAGTTTAATTTTATGTTTAATAGTTTAGTTGTAATATTTTTTATTAGAAAATAAAAAGTTAAATAACATTTACTGCAATTAATATCATATTGTATAAATAAATATTGAAATAAAAAGCAGATTGAAATTAAAAAAAAATGATTGAAGTATGATTAACCTGCCAATGTAACTACTGTTAAAAAAAACAAAAAATAAATATAAAACACATATGATTGATGTAGTGAATTTTCGTGGCAGTTAATACTTAATAGAAATATAGAATTCAATAGTTGTAACAAGAGACTGAACAGTGCAGCGCGTAGCCGCGTAGAAGAGTAGGAGCACTGGAGCAGAGCAGTTGGTCGCAGCAACAGTTCGGATTCGAAAAAAAGAAAAAAATGAATTTTTTAAGAGTTTTGATCCGAATCGTTTTAACTGGTTTGGTTAATTGTTTTTATAATTGATTCAGTTCGGATATTTTATGTTTGAATTGGTTATTTTTTAGATCAGTTTGGTTTAATTTTAAATAGTTTGGTTTGGTTTGATTTTTTTACACACCCTTGCTGAGAAAGGCTTGCACTGACTGACTGCATGGATCATGTTGCTGATTGAAGAAATAAATAAAATCAAACAAATGTGACACCAATCATAATCGAAGCATGAAAAACCCACTGGATCACATGATTCTTGTCATTAAGGGGTGTATTGGATTAGGATTTTAAAAGATTTTTTTAATTAAAAAAAATTCTGCGAATTTTAAAAGATTTTGCAAGATTTTCATGACTTTTAAGATTTTTTAGGATTCTACAATACTTAAAATCAGGATTTTAATAAATTCTACAAAACTTTTAAATTAGGATTTTAATGAATTCTGTGGGATTTTGTAGAATTTTCGTGGATTTTTGACATTTGATAAGATTTCAAAAAAAAATCATACATTCAAATTTAAAAAAAGTGAAAGACAAAAATAATAAAAAAAATAACAATGTCTAGATAAATAATAATAATAATAATTCTCCATAATATCCTATCCTCTTAAATAGCATTCACCCACATATCCATAGCTATATTAGTCTTTCAAGCATTAACGTCTTCTTGCAGTCCACTTTTTATAACATCCACTATCAATGGTAACAATTCATCGGAATCCTCCTTAGTCAAAGCTTCATAAATTTCTTTCTTTTTTCCTTTTCCTTTATTATTTCCTTGTGAATCTCCCATTTGAATTACTAAAACAATATATGTTGAAAACTAGCTATATAAATAATTATGGATAAGAGAAAAAATTAATAAAATTATATTATTATTTTTAGAAGCACATCAATCATACAAGATCGAATATATATTGGCTATCCAAATGGATCAAATACCTTAGTCATTATAAAAAAACATGTAAAAATGGAAATATAAAAACATAAGATAAATTTTTATATAAAAAAATCAGTATATTCAATACCGAGAAAATATTTAGATATATAATTTTTTTATATAAACGGAAGTATTTATATATAGAGAATATATATATATATATATATATATATATATATATATATATTAGTTATATATTATATGATAATTTTTAATGATATTTATAAATGTAAATTATTCTAACAAATATTTTAAAAATATTTTATTTTTTTAAAAATAAGCTAATAAAGGCATAAATTCTAAACCCTAAAAAATTAGATACTACAATGTCTTATGTTAATTTTCTTTTTTAAAAATATAAAAAAATCTTAATTTCACAATATAAAAATAAAAAAAAATTCATAGTAAAAAAAATAAAATAATTGTTGAGTCATAAAAGGAGGGATAAGAGTAACAAATTCAAAGGAATGAGAGAGTTCATAGTTTTTATGCTGAGAGGGTTCTTCCCCCAACTAAGATCCATTTTCATCTCATTCTACTCACAGAAACCCTAACAAATTCATCTTAAATATATATATATATATATATATATATATAGATCATGATATCAATTTCATCTTTTACCTTTTCCTTTTCTTGACGTGTGTTATAAAAAAAATTATCATTTAAAAGTTAAAACTTCAAGCATTTTTTTGTGTTATATAAAGGAACGAATTCAACTAAATAGAATAAAATAGAGCAAGTCAATTAAAGAGAACGAACAGAAAAATAGAGCAAGTCAATAACACTATCATTTACATATCAGATTTTTACAAAATAGGGGAATAGAATAGAAATAGTTCTATAATATTATATATGAGCAATGAACAATAGTGTAGTATTATTAGCGCAAAAAAAATGGAGAAGATAGGAGTATAAAAAAAATGAAAAATTCACTTAAAAATTCTTGAAGCACTTGAAAAGTCACTTCAAACAATCCTTCAAAATCTGATGAGTTTGGATGAGATTGTTTTATGAATTTAGTATTTATAGATAGCACTAAAAAGTCATTCAAAATCCCTCTCACACAACAATCTTTTAAAATCCTTATATTTTTGAATATTAATGGATTATTTTTAAGTTATAAAAAATCTCAAATGAATACCAATAAATTTTAATAGACTCTTTAAAAAGTCTTAAAAATCCGGATTGAATACCACTATATTATTTTTATAATTTAAATTAATATTTTAATCTTCAAAATGCTTTTCGGAGTCTCGATTCGAAGACACAATCATTTTTCTTCTTATAAACACAAATGTATATATAAAAAGACATTTAATTTGTGAAAGCTTTAAGGTAGTGTTTATTTCCGGTGAAATACTGTTCACGAGCAAAGAAAGGCGTGGATTGTGTGTGTTTGTTTCCCTTGATTTGGAACGAAAGAAAGGCGAAGAAAAGCGAGGAGAAGCACTGTTGCTCTCCTCGCACAAAAGGGAAGAAAGGAGTTGAAAGCCACGTAGGATTTGTAAAACTCCGAAAATACCCCTTCCATGCATGTGCCATGCAGCAGAGGATTTACGTTAACGTTCTCCACGGGCTGGTGTTGATTCTCGACGTTGGGTGGCTGGTGGTGGCTGGTGGTGGCTGGTGGGTGTTGGTGGTGAGTGATTGTGGAAGGAGGTCTTCCATTTAAAGAAAACGATAGAGCATAATCGATTATGGTTGGTCACATAATCGATTATGGCCTTGCATAATCGATTATGGGTGAGGCATAATCGTTTATGCAAGGCCATAATCGATTATGTGGCTAAGCATAATCGATTATGCAGGAATCCGGAACGGCCCCGGAACGGCCCGTTCCAAAAATGCATGTTATGAGAAAAATAAGAAAGCAGAACGGGCCGTTCCACTTTTGGAACGGGCCGTTCCACTTTTGACCTTTGCGGAGTACTTAATAACCCTAGAACGGGCCGTTCCACTTTCGGAACGGGCCGTTCTGGGCACATTAATTTGTTATTAATGTTTAATACGTTTATATATATATATATAATATTAATATTTAATATATAATACCTTAAATTAAATATAATTATTTAATATTAATATTTAATTTATATATATATATATATATATAAATTAAATATGAAAATTAAATATTAATATTTCTATCTTCTCACTTTTATATATATTAAAGTTCGGTTATCTATTTTTAGGGTTTATTGTACATTTTTTTTATATTAAGAAAATTCTATTATTTAAATATTGACATTAAAAAGTAAAAATATAAAAAAAATAAAGTAATACATGTTTATAAAATTAAAATAATAACACTTTCATAAACATTAATAAAATAATGTTACAAAATATAATTATCATAATATATTTTGTTATTATTATTTATTATTATAAATATTATTATTTTCATTTTTATTAATATTAATATTATTTTTTATTATAATTAGTATCATTATTATTTATTATGATTCTTATTATTTTTCTAATATTTATTATTATTCTTATCATTATTTATTATTTTTTTAGTAAATAAACCCTATTAATATAATTTTATTGTAATTATTATTAATTATAATAAATAATATTATACTCATTTTTAATCCAAGGGTAAAAGTGTAAATTACATATTCATCTCTTAAATTTTTATTTTTTATCTATCATTAAATTTAAACCAAATATTTAAATTAATTTATTTTTAAATTAATTTTTTATAATTTTTTTAGTTAAAATTTATATATTTATCTTTTATTTATAATAATTATAAACTTTTTTTAGTCTAAGGGCAAAATAGTAATCTTTCACAATTATCAATTAAAAAATTTATTTTTATCTATCACATCAATCATTTCATTCACAAACTTTCTCTACACTTTCCACTTACTTTCCCTTAATCCAAATAACCTCACTTTCTACTTACTTTCCCTTCAAATCTCTCCTTTTTCACTCCTTTTTCTATCTTCAAATCCAAATAAAGACTATGAGAATTTAATCCCAGTCATATAATAATCATATACGATGGTAAAAGTACTTGATGGTTGATATTTGATTAGAGATGTTTCTGTCGTTACACTATTTCATGTAATGCTACTTCTGACATGGCACTGAGTCTATAACTGCTTTTTCTTTTCTCAGCTTTTGGCGGGCTCTCCAATGAGTCATCGTGAAGCTTTATTTTAGTAACTTTATTTAAAAGAAAAAGGTAAAAGTTCTCAAGTAAAGTCAATCGGTAGCTTCGCTGCGAAGTATCATGCTTCAACATAATTATATTATTAAATTTCCCATCATTAATCTCATTTCAGTTGATAGTATACTCGTGCTTAACAAGTTTGTGGACGGTTAAGATTGTGAAGGAAAAACCTCTTGAGAGCTTATTCGGGATTAGTTCAAGACTCCAAGGTAAAGGTGGTTCTGAATCAAGACTCTCATATATATCTTATTCCCTTAGTTAAATTGTTACATGTGATACAAGTGTATGCTTAAATTATTCAGGAACAAGTATCCTGATTAAACGTCTTCTTGTGTTGAAAAATATGAAAATTGATTTTCTCCTTTCAGAAAGGAAGGAGGTCAAGTTTCCTTTTGTGTGGTGTCGAAGAAAAAATGAAATGTTAAAAAATCATATTTTGGAAAAGTTGAGAGAGAAATTTTTACATATCTTTTGCGTTAATTTTAACTTTTGTTGGATGCCTCAAAAAATTTAATTTTTATTTTATTTTTCAATCTTATTTTCATCAAGTGTTTATGGAGAAGTTTATGTAAACATGACATTTTTTTTTATTATGCTCGGTAACTTTCTAAAGCTGACTTCAATTCTTTTGAACACATTCTACAATCACTTGGAAGAGAATGGCAAAGCAAAATAAGGAATGGGCTGTAGGAATCGACCTTGGCACAACATACTCGTGTGTTGCTGTATGGCAAGAACAACACTGTCGAGTGGAGGTCATTCACAACGACCAAGGCAATAGAACCACACCTTCTTGTGTTGCTTTCACAGACAACCAAAGATTGATTGGCAATGCCGCTAAGAATCAGGCTGCCACCAACCCAACCAACACTGTCTTTGGTAATGAATTCTTATTCTTTTGTTTCTGATTTCATTTAAATGTTTACACTAGTTACTTCTGTATTCGCTTTTAGCTGAACAAATATGATAGCTTAACATTCATCATTTATTTTGAGGGAAAAAAAATATTTTCATCCGGTTCTCAAATTTGTTCTCTTTTTCTTGTGTCAGGAACTCTAACTCTGTAACTTTTTAAATTAATAAATGTTATTCCTCAAGACTACTTTGATTAACATAATTTACAAATTAGCCTTAAATGCTTGCTCTAGTGGGAATAGCTTAAGAAAGATATATTTACTAATTTTGCAGATGTGAAAAGGTTAATTGGAAGAAGATATAGTGATCCCATTATTGAGAATGACTTAAGGTTGTGGCCATTCAAGGTCGTTGCTGGTGCTGATGACAAACCCATGATAGTTGTTTCATACAAGGGTCAGGAGAAGCATATTTCAGCTGAGGAAATCTCATCTATGATCCTTACAAAGATGCGCGAGATTGCAGAAGCATATTTGGAATCACCAGTTAAGAATGCAGTTGTTACTGTGCCTGCTTATTTCAATGACTCTCAACGTAAAGCCACCAAAGATGCTGGTGCCATTGCTGGCCTAAATGTTATGCGGATAATCAATGAGCCTACGGCTGCAGCACTAGCATATGGCATTGACAAGAGAGCTAATTGTGTTGGAGAGCGAAATATTTTCGTCTTTGATCTTGGTGGTGGTACATTTGATGTTTCTCTGCTCACAATTAAGGGCGATGTCTTTGAAGTCAAGGCCACTGCTGGTGACACTCACCTTGGAGGAGAGGACATTGATAACAGAATGGTGAACTACTTTGTAGAGGAGTTCAAGAGGAAGAGCAAAGTGGACATTAGTGGGAACTCAAGAGCACTGAGGAGGTTGAGAACTGCTTGTGAGAGAGCAAAAAGAACACTCTCATATGCTGCTGATACCACCATCGAGGTAGATGCTTTATCTGGGAGCATTGACTTCTGTTCATCAATCACTCGTGCAAGGTTTGAGGAACTAAACATGGGCCTCTTTAGAAAGTGTATGGAGACAGTAGATAGGTGTCTCGTTGATTCTAAGATGGACAAGAATGATATACATGATGTTGTACTTGTTGGTGGTTCTTCCAGGATCCCCAAAGTGCAGCAGCTATTGCAGGACTTGTTCAAGGGGAAGGATCTGTGCAAGAGCATCAACCCTGATGAGGCTGTTGCTTATGGAGCAGCAGTCCAAGCCGCTTTGTTGAGCAAAGGCATCAAATATGTTCCCAATCTAGTGCTATTGGATGTTACACCACTGTCACTTGGTATATCGCTCAAGGGAGATCTCATGAGTGTTATGATTCCTAGGAACACTACCATTCCTGTAAAGAAGAAAAAGGTATACTATACAAATGATGAAAACCCAACCGTTGTTGGGATTGAGGTTTATGAGGGTGAGAGAGCAAGAGATAGTGATAACAATTTGCTGGGATTTTTTAATCTCTCTGGTTTTCCTCCTGCTACTTGTGGTCAACCCTTGGATGTGTGCTTTTCCATAGATGAAAATGGTATCTTGTCTGTTTCTGCTGAGGGAAAAACCAATGGCAATAAGAACGAGATTACCATAACTAATGAAAAGGGAAGACTATCAACTGAACAAATTATGAGATTGATCCAAGAAGCTGAGAAATACAAGGCTGAAGACCTAAAGTACCAGAAGAAAGTTGAAGCAATGAATGCTTTGGATGATTACATATACAAGATAAGGAATGCTATAGAGGATGTTGATAACAGTCATGAGTTTCATCCACAAGACAAAATGAAAGTCAATTTGGCAATTACAAAGGCCAGGAATTTACTTGATGCTGGTCAACAGACAGGAACAAAGGTGTTTGAGGATTATCTGAAAGAGGTAGAGAGCCTCATTGAACCCATTATGAGGGTTAGCTAGTTTGTTTCTAGTTTACTTGGGTGAAACATGCAAAACTTTGAACCTGTTATGCAGACAATTTAATAGTTCTAATTTCCTGAATCAATCCTTGAACACATCTTTCGTCCACCTCTATCTAACATAAATCTGGATATGCCTATAATTATGTGTAGTGAACTTGAGTACATTTCTTCCATAGTTATTTGTTATGTTATACCATACATATAAATAGTAACATAGTCAAGCCTATATAGTGTCTCAGCTTTGATAAAATTCATACATTCTTGTTGCTATTATTTTCCATTATATAGTGTCTCAGCTTTGATAAAATTCATACATTCTGTTCCAGTTCTTCCTTCATTGGTAGTTGAATTGCTTGCTAACGAAGCTAGTGGTGTGTTGTTAGTAAGTGCTATTTTTTGTACTATTCTTTGCGTTTGGTATTCAGTTGGATTGGGTCCCTCATACTACTTTAAAGCTCTCCCTGTACAGTTTGGCTCACTTTTGGTTGAATTTCTAGTTGACATTTTCTTCAAAAGTTCGTGAATTGTGAATACAACTACCTAAATCAGAACAAAAGTAAAAATACATTATAGCTTGCATGTGTGTTTTTCCGTAACTTTTTAACATAATAACAGTTTTTTAAACAATTATTAGGCAATTTCTTATTATATAGAAATTATGTTGGTGTCATGCAATGATAAATAAAATTCATCAAACTCTTGTTCATCTTTTTGAGAAAAAAAAAATGGATGAATTAGTTAAAACAAATTAATTTTATATATAGTGGTTTCATAGATTTTGCTCGAGTATGCAAAACAAATTTGACCTAACACAGTTTTTTCTTCATTTTTTTTCCAAAAAAAATTATATTTGTACACATAAAACTGGTCAAATGTTTATTTAAACTTAAAAGTGAATTTTAAATTGAGATCCTATATTAAAAATAATTTATAAAATTATTGTAACATGTGAATCACACATATAAATGTTTTTAAATATATAAATTATTCTAATTTAAATTCATAGTTAATAAAATTGGTACAAAAAAAATATAGAGATAATTTATATTTATATAAAAATAATTCTTTATTTTCTTGTACACAATTTTTTAACTGTTTTACTTTTATAAGTTATAACTACATTAGACACACTTCAAACCTTTTCTTTTATCTACTTAATTAGCTCTATTTTTTATTATTTTTAAAATTTGTGTCTCATTTGTACTAATATATATAAAAATATAAGCCAAAACCAACCTGATATATACATGTGAAAGGCATATAACAGTGAAGACTACATAAAAAGAAAGTCAAGCTTAATATAAAGTTTCGATGTTACAATTCTTTTGGAAAAAAAAAGTTTATACAATCATTAAATAACCTTTTTAAACTCGATGACATTATATATATATATATATATATATATAAAAGAATTTAACATGAAAATTAAGAAATTTAATAAATATTTAAGATTTTGTAAAATTTATCATGCAATTTTCTAATAGATTGTTTGACTTTCTTATTAGTTAGATTCTTTCTCATCTATATACTTCTTTTTAGGGATGTAAGTGAGTCAGTTTAGATCAAATTTGAATAGACTCATTATCTAATTTGATCAAAATTTAACAGGTTAGATTGGACCTGTAATAATTCGCCATGATCGTTATATTCAATGGAATCACTACTCCTAACAATGAAAACCATAGTAGTAGAACATAGGAGAGGAACATGATTATATATATATATATATATATATAACATGCATTTTAATATAGTACATTTAATGCATTATCCCAACATAACATATGGCTTCTATATATATTGTTACATTAGTAAATATGTAGAAACATGGAAACGACGACAATTTTGAAAGACAAGAAGTTGAAATATACGTACGCGTTTGCGGGTCGTATAAAAGAAGTATAACTGCTGAATCCATATTTTCCATGAAATTATGGTTTCACTATCGAGAAGGACCCAATTAGTTGATGACAAATTTGTCGTACAACGATAATTCAATTTCTTCGCAAATGAATTCAAGTCTGAAATTAAAAATATTATATACTCAGTGTGATTAAAAAGTTATCGGCTCTATATTAAACAAGATAAAGTTGTAGTTTATTATTTCCTAAAAGAAAAGAGTAAGATTGATTGTAATAAAATAAAATGCATGAAAATGCGGCTGAACTTTCCCCGTAAGTCGTCATGCCAATTCGTACAAGTTAAATGCAATTAATTTCTAAGCCTATTCTAATTCACCTGTCTCTCCTCAATGCATCGCAATTCTATTATTTTAAAATCGATTAATTATTAATTAGGTTAAATTACATTTTTAGTTTATTTATTTTTATCAATTTATAATTTTTATTTTAAAATAGAGACATTTAGCCTCTAATTTTAAAAATAGAGAATTTTGGTCCACTCATCAAATTAGCATCTAATTTTTAAAGTTTACTCACATTTAAGTGATATGATATTTAATAACATGACATTTAGAAATAAAAAAAATTAGAAAAAAATATACAAATAAAATTTTTATTAATAAAATAAATATCAATCACTTATAAAAATATATATAAATGAAGATATTTTGCATGTTATTTTTAATTTTTATTTATGTATGTCATGTCACTAAATATCATATTACTTAAGTGGTAACAAATCATCAAATAACATTAAAATTTAACAATCAACGAATATCAAACTAATGAAAGGGCCAAAATTCCATATTTTATGAAATAGGGGACTAAGGGGGTGTTTAGTATGAGAGAAGTTTTTTCATAATCATAATCCCTAAGACTACAAATTTTGAGAATCATAATTCTTAAGAATAATTAAAATATGTTTGATTACTCATGAAAAATCTTATGAATATTCATCATATAAGATTTTTAAGAATTAAAGATTTTCATATATAGTTATAATAATATATTACTCGATATATAAATACCTTTTACAAAAATATCTTTTATTAAAATAACTTCATAAATAAATGTATTTACTCAAATCTTATTATAAATAACATTAAATTATTTTTAAATTTTCAAAACTTATAATTAAAATTATTTAAATACATAATTCAACAAAAGAAATAACAAAAAAATATTACATAATAATTAAGAATGATAAAAATATATTGGTTCATTTCATTTAAATAAAAAAATAAAAGAAATAAAAAAAAGTGTTAATAAATATAATTAAACTGTAGAAACAAAATAAACTTTAATAATATTATTAAAATTAACAAAATCAAAAAATTGAAATAGAATGAGAGAGTGGGAGAGGGAGGGGGAGAGAAAGAGAAATAGAGGGGAAGAGAAAGGGGGGAGAGAAAGAGAGGGGGAGTGAGAGAGAGAGAAAGGAAGAGAGGGAGAAGTAAAATAAAAGAAGAGAGAGAAAGAAAGAGAAACTATATTCCTAGATTTTTTTTTAAATAGCTACTAAAATTATAATAAATAAATAAAAAACAACAAGATTATCAATTTAAGATTTATAAGAAAGTAAAAACATTATACATATTAAACGTTTCCTAAATATATCTCTATTTAAAAATAGAGAGATCAAAGTTTCATATTAATAAAAATAAAGAAATTAAAAATATATTTTAGTCTTTAATTAATATTATATTTTATTTTATGTATAATTTTATGTCTCTTAATTTCTTGTATACATTCATATGAAAATACTCTCAAATTTAATAAAAATGTCCCATTTTTTAATAGCAATGAAAACACGTTTTTGAGGGCAATTTGATAGTTTTAAATTGTGTTTCACAAACTTTTAATTTCTAGATAACCAATACTTAATTTTTGTAATTCAAATATGAGAGGAATCATATACTATGTAAAAAAAGTCATATTTGAAAAACATTGGAAATCAAATATGAATGAGAATCTCTCATCAAAAGAATTAATATGTTTATGTTAAACAGTATATAATTAAATAAGAAAGATTCAACGACTTGATACCTTAAAATCTTAAGTTAAGATATAATATAAAGTTTATTTGTATAATTTACTCAAAGTTTTTTCTGGTATTATCAGGGGTCTAATTGTTATAATTAGAAACTATAAACTATAAACACAACCAGCATATTGTGTCGTCCACTCCCGCGTGTCCGTATCAAAGAGAAATTTACGATCTAAAATAATAAATGTAAAAGGGTTTCTCAACTCAACAGGATATATCAGAAGCAATAACAAGTTGACCAGTTACGCGTTTGCTGTTGCATCCAAGAAGATAACAACCGAATTTCTGAGCAATGACACATTAATTTACAAGCCTTAGTTTCCAAGTAACTATATTATTTTTAACATGTTAATGATCATGAGCAAAAAAAAAAGCATCTTAAGCGAAAGTCACAAGAGATTAAATAACTGAGATGGATTGTCCCAGCCATGCACAACAACCAATGCAATTGAAGCCTCCAGGGGCACCATACAATTGCAGTGGTTGTCGAGAAATAGGGTTTGGACGCAGTTACCACTGTGGAAACCACAACTGCAGTTACATATTCTCCATGAAGAGTGTTCAAATGTTGTTTCCATTGCCTTTCATCCATTTTTCCCACAAAGCTGTTTCAAGTTTTATGAGAAAGCACCGGGACACCGAACTAGGTATTGCGATGCCTGCGGAAAGGATGTGCTAGGTTTTGTTTACCATTGCTCCCGTACAGGATATGATCTGCATCCATGCTGCTTAAAGCTTAAACACAGGATTTCTGATGAAGACGGGCGTGTGACACTTGAACTGAGTCAGAAGGTTCCCTCAAAGTGTGTGAAGTGTAAGCATAGGAATGTTGTGAGTGGAGTTAAAGGGTGGTCTTATGTTTCTTCTGGTTCTGGGGGAACTTACTGTTATCATGTGTCGTGTGTAAAGGATTTGATTCTTGAGAATCTGAAGAGGGGTTATTTTAGTCAAGAAATTACAAATTCAGTTGGGATGAGTGATAGGGAGTACTCTCAACTGGCACTGAGAAGCATGGAGATGGTTCAAAGTGGAGGAAGTTCAAGGAGTTCAGGGACAATGAGGAAGTACACCAAGATTGCTGTGTTGGTGTTCAAGCTAATATTTTCAGCTGTTTTTGGAAACCCTATATCTGCCATTGCTGCTCTTGTGGAAGCCCTTGTTTCTGATTGATATATCCTACAATTGTTATTGCACTAGATACTATTTTGTGTTATTCTCTTATCAAAATTAGAACTTCAGTTTAATAATTTATGTTATGATACATATTATGAAAGTGAAATTCTAATTATGATTAGAAAATAATATTAAAAATAAATGTATCTTAGTTTTGTTCTTCTTGTTGTTGTTTTGTTTTTGTTTTTTTTAAAATATGGTGATGCAGTTTGGTATTAGATTGGTATCAAAATGAAGCTTCTTTAATATGGGGAAGTTGTTCAATTATGATTGTGCTGATATGATGTAGAGTGATGGGAGTCTCATATATTCCTATATGGTGGGAGTTGTTCAATTATGATTGTGGAAAACCCTAGCATGTTTCGGATTCATCAAGATATCCTATAATTGCTGTGTTGCTGTAGTTTTTTTTTATTTTTTATTTTATAATAATTTTGGCCAATGTTGGGGGTTGGAGTTTTATATTAGATTAGTATCACGATGAATTAATAGTGGGAGTTGTTCAATTACTACATGTGTGAAGATATGATGTTCAGTGAGAGAGCCATATAGAGTTCAATTTATGTAAGTTTTGAGATTTTTTGTATATCGTAAAATTTCGCAGTTTATTATGGTTTTGTAAATATATATATTTACACACACACACAAAACAAAAGAAGCATATAGTTTTCATTTCTTCTTTATTTTTGTCCCGTTCCAGTCGGGCTCTAGCAGCAGTTAATTGTAAACTTATGTTCAATTATTTAAAAATGGGAGAATAAGATAAAATATAAATTTACGTACAAGGGTATTATTGGTTTTCTTTTGAAAATGAAAATCTCGAAATTTTGCATGTTATGTATACATTATGGAATTTCTTTCTTTCTTTTTTATTTATTTATTGATTTTTACATCAATTCATTCACTCTCGGCCGGTTAATGGCGTTCGAGTAGCAATTATGAAATGTATAATGGAAGTACACTTTTTTCTTGGTTTATAACGAAATTATTCATGAATATGTTAAATGTCTTTGTCTTACGTAGCAACTTCTTCGAAATTTGCCATTAATAAACATATATATATATATATATATATAGAGAGAGAGGATATAATTACACCGGTATAACTTTTACTAAGTATTGCACAACTTAATAATTTTATATTAATTGTGAATTTTATAAATCTAACCGTTAGATTGAAACTTCATATCACTTTATACGTGCATATCAAATTTTGTTAAAATTGAACAACTTGAAGGCAATCAAATTGTTCATATTTTAGTGTATTTTGAAATGAATATATTATGTCAATTTTTTTATATAAAAATAAAGTATCAAATCATCTTGAATTAATATAAAATTTTGTATATATGATCTAAGAGATATGAACTTTCAATCTAACGGTTAGATTTACAAAATTCACATTTAACATAGAGTTATTGAGCGGTGTAATAATTAGTAAGAGTTACCCCGGTGTAATAATTAACAAGGTCAGGGGTTCGAATCTTGCTTTATGTATGCAAGCCGTGTTAAATCTTGGGGCCAAATATATATATATATATATAATTCTTCATCTCAGTCATTATCAATGTAGCTCCGGTGAACTTGTAATCCTTATCTTCAATTAAAGTTAATGTGAGAATGATATACGTGGCTCATTAATTCTTTAATTTTTCATTAATTAAGTACACTGAGTGAGACATAAAATATAAATTTAAGCCAACACAGTCTTGTTTTTGTGAAAGAAAACATGCATGAAAAAGTAGCAGTTCATCATGGCAAACTTCGTGGAAATTTGATAGTTAATGCAAATTTGTTTTACCCTATTTTTCTTTGGATTGTGTCACCAATTTAGTCATTCTCTCAATGTATATAGCTACAGAGAAAGTACTGCATGGCGTTTGATATGATATAAAATAAACAATTTACCAGCAGGCTATATTCTATTTTTAATAATTGCAAGAGATAAACATATAACGCCTATATATATATATATATATATATATATATATATATATATATATATATATATATATATATATATGGATACCAAGGTTTTTCAAATATTTCTAAATTTTCATCGATCCGTCATTGATCTTTCTCCATATTTTACGTACTTCATGTAGATGTGTTATTTTAATAAGAACAATTTGATCAAATATAATCTTTCTCCATGCTTTGTATATTTTAAAAAATGAAGAAATATATGCGTTATTTCAAATGATACATCATAATTAATTGACTAAAGTATACTTCTAGTTTTTTTATAATATTTTATACATAATTTTAGTTCCTTAATTTTATAAAATTTGTAATTTCAATTTGTTCATTGGGTTATTCATCTATTAATTGTTAAAATTGTAATTATGTTAATCTCAATTAAAATAGATGATATAAAAATTAATATTTAGACTAAATTTTATTTTTAATTCTTATTTTATCTCATAAATTAAAGTGATAAAATGAGATGAAAATAAAAATTAAAAGTAAAAAGGAACCGTGGGGTCATCTCCATTTCAAGGTTGATGGTCACGTAATTGAGGAATGTCAGCGATCTTTGGTGGGTAGACGTCATCGCAATATCCAGTTGAAGACGATTCGTCAAGAATTACTACAAGAGGGTTTCCTAGATATCAAGGTGACAACGATGGGTGATGATATTGTAACACCCAAATTTTTATTATTATTTTAATGGCATTTTCGTAATTTTAATAAAGTTATAGGGGTATTTTGGGTTCTGGAACGGGCCGTTCCAAAAGTGGAACGGGCCGTTCCAAATGTTGAAAATGTGAGGTTTTTGTAGTCCCAGAACGGGCCTGGAACGGGCCGTTCTGGTATGGAGAACGGGCCGTTCCGGAAGGAGAACG